CATAAAAGGTACCTTAGCTGGTCGAAGATCATGTCCCAGACATAAACCGGCAGCCGGAACACGCCTGAGTGTAGGGACATCCACTGGGTCTCTGCTACTATTTCCGCCGCACGGGATATCTTCCGAGCTACCGAGATGAGCGCGAAAAACGATGTCACAGATGAATGATGAGAGCGGGTTATGTAACTTACTGCCGCAGAGAAGCCCAGAGTCAGAGCGAAAATTGCTGCTTTCAGACTTAGAGCCCGACGTGTCACAACTTTCTGCATCTAGACCAGCCCTCAGCCCTCAGAGATCCTTCAATTTCCATGAAGCCGACGCATAGCACAACCCACCATCTCCTGCAGAAACAGTCGACTCTCGTTCATCAACGCACATCAACTCATCGCTCGACTGGCTCGTGCAAGCCTCTAGTAAGTGTGGCATACTTTCCGTATAGCTTCGAGTCCGTTCAGCATCTGTGAATGCTTGTATTCATTACTGCATTCAAACACTAAAGCACAACTCACGGAACAGGTCTTTTACGGAAATCCTCCCAATCGCCATAGCTGAACTCGAACTCCACTTTTGCTCTGCAGAAAATGACGACATAAAATCAGCTGAGGAAAACATATTTGTCGTCAAGGGCTGAGAGATGGTACAGATATTGTAATGGTGCGCTAAGAAGAGTGGAAGTGGGTTAGTCACTAGATGTCCTTTTATGCATCTCAATCCTAGGGGAGGACAGCCTCGCCTTCCACGAGAAATGCATTGACGGGCCGCACATGCACAAGGCGATGCTGACCACAGAGCGCCCAATACTCATATCTGCTAACACAGCCTCATCGGACGCGCGCATTCATGTGGTACCCTCTCGTGATAACAAAATATCCGAAAATATACCCTGCAGGTTTTCATATGACCCTGTCCACCGGATATTCAGCGTCACTTTGCGTGTAATAAGATATATTTCAACTCACTAATTTGTAGGGATATGAGTAGGCCACTTGGTCAGCAGAGACTAGGACACACTTCATACGAACTATATGCCCAAGCATGCCTGTAGCCTCGATGCAGACTTGCAGTTGTCTCATTGATCTCTAGCACAGCATATACACAGGCTCTTGAGTCTTTGGTTCATCATCCCAGCTAAGTTACATCACTGAGCCTCCTTTCCCTCGTGTAACTAAAGCGATTATGAATTGATGGTGATAATGACGGCCCCGAGTTGAGTGCAATCTTATGATAGCCTGTAGGTTGTCAGTGTAGCGGAGAAAGTCACTTAGACTGTTCTAGATACCAGAAAAAAACAAGAATCGGAGATGTGTTTTGCTGCTTCAAGTTGAAGGCGGACTGCACAGAAAGCCGAATAAAGCTAGCGAAGTACGTATAAATAGAGCTTAACAAGAATTTCAAAATTGACATAATGAAGCAGAAGGCACCGAGAAGGTACAGCAGCAGTCCAGCAGTAGTCGAGTACTTAGTACTAAATAGTCACTGGGCGCCTACAGGTTCCCTGGGTGTTTTCTGACAGTTATGATTCAGCGACTGTCCGAAGTCGTCATGATATTCGTGTAGGCTAGCCCAACAGCATTCATCGCTTCATTAGCAGCACCATGCCTCAGAAGTACGCCAACGCAGCGGCAACGAGCGTCGACGCCACCACGCCCATCACACTCCGACCCATGCTCTGCGCTCCGCTCTTCGTTGTCGTTGTCGTCGTCAACGCCACTTCCGTTCCATTCCAGCAGTACCGCTCAAAGCAGCTCGAACATAGCCCGCTCCTCTCCGTTCCCGTGGCGTTCCGCGCACGGTCGACGACTGCGCACGCCAGGCACGCCGGCCACTCCGGGTCATTCACCTCGCTTGCGTTCGTAGGATATCCCTGCATGGCGATCGCGTACACCTGATCGAGGAATGCCTGCGTCTGGTCGAGCGTCAGGTTGCTCGGCTGCTGGTTCGTCAGCGGTGCTTCGCCGTTGCGCGGTGGGCCGCCATTTGCGATGTAGATGATTAATGGAGCTTCGGTGCTGGTGTCGCACCCGAAGAACGTCGGCCGTATGGAGAGATTCTGCGCGGAGAACTCGGAGGTGTTGGTGGGGATGGGCGGCATGCTGTACGCCGTAGGGAAGAGGGTGTTGATGCGGTTTTGAGTGTTCTGGATGAACGGTTGGTCTGATTATGGGCATTCGACGAATGAGATCACGTACGACAAGAGAACCACCAGCAGACCAGTATGCATTGGCAAAATCTTGATTCTGTGTGTCAAGAGTACTCGCTCAGCATCGCATTTCCGATAGCATAGATACCGAGCAACTGACGGCATCGAGGGCAAAAATTGTGTCGAGACCGCGGGCCTTGACCATCAAAGGCTGAATTGGAATCGCCTCTCCGTCACTTGCACCATCGGACATCATAATGAGTGTTTCGTTCTCGTCGATGAATGTGCCATTCATGATTGATGCGCGGAACGGGTTCGGGAACAGGGACGAGTCCAGGACAATGTCCGTTTGCGGGATGCTCTCGTTGAGAGCGGTGACAATAGGATAGACGTAGGAGTTGACTAGGACGGATTCCTGATTTAATATTAGTCAATGTGCAAAGCTCCGTATAGAGCGGGAAAAGAGTACCGAAGTGTTGTAGAATGTGTTCCAATCACCAGAAGCGCCAACAACAAATGCGGTCTGGTCGTAATTGGTCCAGCAAACCGAGTCGTTCGTTGTCCCCAGATATTTCATGGGTGTGAACGCTGCGAGCGTAGGATCATATGATCCCATTTCGACTGGAGACGAGTCTTAGTACGAACAGGAACTAGAAAGCGCTAGAGGAACGCACAGACGTTCATCTCCATGATCGGGTTGGAGGTAGGGACAATGTCGCTGCTGTTCGGGATGATATTGGAGAAGTTTCCATTTGGAGAGAGCAGCGTCGCAATGAGGATGGGGAACGGTTGGGAATACGATGCGAAAGTAGGCCTGATGCAACTTGGTGAGCGAGAAAACAGAGGGACCAAAACAATCTCTACAGGTCAGCACTTACACGTTGGGAACGCTGGACCAGGTGTAACCCGCGCCATGAAGAAGCGTATCATTGAAGAAATTCTCCGCGTTGGTCCCGTTGACGAAATGCCGCCCGTTGTCGCGCGCAGTGATATCATTATACGAGACCGAGAAACCTGCCGCGTACTTCCCGCGAATCTCGTCAATCAACTCTTGGAGGTATTCTGCATTCTGGGTCGCGTTCGTGTACGGATCTTGCTGGTTGATCTGCGGCAGCCACCCGCCCCATGCACTGGTCGGATCCGTGCTATTCGTGCCAAATGCCAAAGTCTGAATCGTCGGGAAGTTCGCCTGCGCGAAGGACCCAACTAGGTTGGCCCCGCCGGACAAGCCAGAGAGATATTGTGCGGCTTGGAGAATACCTCCGGTCCCGAGAGCGGCTGACGTCTCGTTTCGCGCATCCAAGAAGTTCAAGATACCCGCGCCCCATAGGGTTGCCCGCCAACCGCCACCGCTGCTCGCGATCCCGACATTAGGGTACCTGCTCTCTCCGCTGAGAATGCTCGCAACATAGTCTGGCAACGATGCATTTGTCGCTTGAATATTGGCAAGGTACGTTTTCCAGGCGTCAGGGAGGACGTTGGCCTTGCGGGTGCTAATATATTCGACTTCCTGCTGGTTGAGGGTTTGGTTCCCCACGGGGCCGACCAGACGCACGACTTCGAATCCACTCGGGCACGCGCCAGACACGGGCGTGTACGCCTGGTTGGCAGCACTCTGAGCAGAGACCAGCGACGACGCAGTGAGAACGGCGAGGAGTGTCGCAAGCATGGTTTGTCGCCCGAGTCACGATGCGTAAGAGGCAGCATCCAGGCTATATCTCGCGCAGAGAGAGCATGAGACCCACCCGCGGAACTCCGTCACCAGGAGGAGAAACATCTCGCAGAAGCGGTGAATGGGTTTGTCGGAGGGGGCGAGTAGCATGTGTTCAAAGGCCCGAGGATTGACCAGACGGCCGCGGTCTTCGCGCCGACATTCCAGCGGTATGGGTGGCCAGGTTCATTGCCAAGGAAGCAAAGGCGACGTCCTTGAATGCATGCAAAGTCAATCTACACGCATCTATGTCGCTCCATATTCTCGGTGGATGAGTAAATACAATATGTTCGCAGATGCGGAAAACGCACACATATCATGACCCGGCACCGTTCAAAATGGTATAGCTGCTCGACTGAATCGACCGCCACCACGATATCAGAATTCGGGAAGACCAAATGTTTCCACTTCACGTTAACCGTTCACGCCACCCGTTGAGCCCTGAAATTTTGAACACCAGGGACTCCATAAGAGTCGGGGTCAGAGTGGCACCTGCACGCCGATGCGACGGGCGACTTTGTATTTTAGATCACATGCTGATCCTTGTCTCCTCCGAGTCCTTCTCCGGTCTCGTGGTCAACATGGGATCAGATTCTACACCGGCAATATATGCTTCGGTCGGATTTTATTTCTGCAATCAGGCATGCAGTACACTTGGTACTGGCGGAGGCAGCAGAGGCATACGTGCTATGAGCTCGTACAAAATGTCAGCCTTAGCGGGGGAGGCGAGTGGGATTCACGACGAATTGGCACGATAACCCAATGCTAATATTATTTCAGTGGCGCCAACAGGCGAAACACATCGGTGAGGTAATCTTTTACAGGAATCCGACCTTTGAATCGACAATCTCATTACTGTTCGTGTACCATCGATGCCCAAAGGAATAATATCGTGGCGTGATACCCTTTTCTACGCCGAATGCCGTGCACCACTCAGATGCTAATCATAGCAGATCGCCGAGGGCTGCCATCTCGGGACCACCCGCTTCCTGTATGACAACGGTGTTAGCATGAACACAATTTGACCAAAAGCACTACGCACCCTCATGCCGATTTCCCAGTCTGCACGCGCGCATACTGTGAGCAAGATCAACGCGTAGAAAAACAGTACAACTCACAGCTGTAGATGATAGTGACGGCCATGAGGATACCCGTTCCACTGCCGATTGCACCCATCAAGTCTGCTGCAACGGATAACAGACCCAACATCGCTCCACCAAGTGCAGCAGCCGTGGGGACGACGCGCTTCAATTCTTTGTACATTGAGCCCTCACGGTGACCAGCCATGACCTATCAGGGAAAATTGATATACACATACCACCGAACTGAGAGTATGAGAAACGCACCATCTGCTGATCCTTGAGCTGCTTCGCAATGTCGCGCGGGCCACTTCCCGATACTTCTATCCATGTCTTGGAGAAAATGGCGCAAGCAGTGACAATGAATGCGACGTAGAGAACCGTGTGGATGGGGTCGAGCAGGGCAGCCTTCAGAGTGTGAGGTGGGGACATGTAATATGCGATACCAGACACTGCTGCAAGCTGAGGGGAATCTTCCATAGGCTGCAAGTGATGATATTAGAATTTGCGCATAATATGCCATGACGTAGCTTACCTCCCACACCCCCAGCAGTTTGACAAGAATGTTGCTGGGGAAGCGCGAAGAGAGCATTTGCGAGATCATAAAGACGTTCGAAGTCAAAGCAGACTCCAACATGATAGGCATGTTCGACGTGTAGAACAGCTTCACGGGGTACGATCCACGCTGGCCCCTGAACCTGTTCGACTTGACTGGGATTTCGATACGGAAGCCCTGCAGGTAGATGACGACAGCAAATACGACGACCGTTGCAATGAGATTCATGATGTTAGGGAGACGCTCCCGCCAGAACGCCTCGCGGAGTGCACGACCCTTGTCGTTCCAAGTGAATAGAAGGTGGAACAGTGACACAACAGCACCTTCGAACTCAGGGCCACGGCCAGTATTGACAGTCGTGGGCGAGAATGCTTTCCAGACGATGGATTCGCAGATGTTGGTGGCGATGAACAACGAGATTCCGGAACCGAGACCATAGCCCTTCTGGAGGAGTTCATCAAGGAGGATGACAATCAAGGACGCGGAGATCAGCTGAATAATTAAGAGCAGACAGACACCAGCGCCAATGTCACCAGGTTGACCGTAGAGACCTGTAAGGACGTATACGGTTGCTTGGCCCAGCGAGATGATGAGAGCGAACACTATGCAACAGTTAGCTACGGATGACACAATCCATCGAAGCCGAGCGGTTCTCGAGAAGGGCGCAGGGACGCATAGTAGACTTTATAGTAACCAGGTAGACACTCACGCTTTTGTGCCCCACTGAACAGCGCACGGTCTTCCTTCAGCGAAAAGTCGACCTCAATCAAGTTCGCGCCAGCCAATAGTTGCATGATCATTCCGGAAGTGACAATGGGGGTGATACCGAGCTCCATGAGTGTCCCACGATTCGATGCGAGGATGACGCGCATCCAGTACAGCGGGTCAGACGAGTCGGACGACATGATGCCGTAGAGCGGCACCTGCGAGCAAACCAAGAAGATGAGCAGGGTCACGGCCGTCCATAGCACCTTTTGGTTGAACGGAACCTGAGGAAGCGTGTGACACATTAGCGTTGCTCCCGAGTCGCAGAGTTAGTCGTAGGACGCACTTTCCGGTCGGGCGAGGAGACTTCGGGCAGGATGGGGAGGAATGGCCGGACGAGGTTCAAAAACCGGACTGTAAACCATGCAGTCAGCGCATATGCGGAGAGCAGGGAGAAGAGACTCACATCCGCTCATGGTGGGAAGGGTGGACCAAGGAGCGGCTGAGGGTCAGTGGAGAAATATACTACTTAAGCGGACCGACACGTCGCCACCAAGCTCATGAGGTGGCATGCCAAATATGTACAAGCAAGCCTCCTTGCAACGTAGGCGCCGGTGAATTGAGACTCCCCATGTATCTTGGGCCAAGTATTCAATATTCAATGCCAACCTTTCTCAGCATATTCTCTGGGCAGCCATGATCATCCTCATATTATCAGCTAACTAAATAGTACGCAAACCAGTACGAACACTGTCACAGCCCGAGGTTCGAGTTAGGACTCCGAACTCATGATTTGGGCGTTCGACGCGTATCGAGCATCGTCGTAGGACTTAGTGAGTACAATTTCAGATCAATACTTCGCGTGATGTCATCTCGAATATGCTAAGAGGTGTGTCCTCGTTGAAGCCCAAGCCTGCGGCTTTACGCTGGTATACTACTCGCGCCAGTGGCGTGGAGAAGGAACCGTGCAAAGTTACAGGCTTAGAACGGAAAGCTGACCAGTTAACCTTGATCTCTATGTCTTCGTGAAGTCTGACCTGCAGTTTCTATTTCTATAGACATGCGATTGAAAATGATCCGTGGCATACAACTGCAAGTATGCAGATCACAGGCAACATGAACAACGCCGTATAGAAGCGCAGTTACGACCTCGACTCTTGCTTAGGTTTTTCCGCGTGGTCTACGGAATCAGGTGACGTGTCGCTCGCTATCCGGTCTAGCACATCCAGCATCAGAGCCTTCGGCATGTAATCGCACCTGATACCTCTCGCCGCCTGAACGGCAAGTTCGCGTTTCTCTCTTTCTTGGACACCTCGTCTACGTCGTGAAGCTTGCTCGACCACCCTTGAATTCCAGAAGTCTAGGATGCCATTCATTCGCTGATCGAGATCCTCCCACTCGTCGTCGAGAGAATTTTGCAGTTCGACCTGAGCTTTTGAAGGGGATGCCCTCCAGCCAGTAATTCTGCTATAATTGTGTGCGCTTTTGAAAAGTTAGAATCAAAAGGCTTGGTTGAGAGATGGACTGGCGCACCCATTTGCGTATGAGAGGCTTCGAAGACGGGAACAGTTGAGGAAGTTTTCTCTTACATAGGAGGTAATATCCATTGACAGTGGGGAAGAGTGTCCTGTCCTCTTATTGGAATGCTTTGGGTATTGACGCCTGCGAGGAAGGAGATGCGGTGGGATCGCACAGAGCACGCCTTGGCTATCGGCTTTCCGCACGACATTTGTCCTGGAGAAGAAGTATACCATGGCGGTGGTAAGGAGGTAAGGCTTTGTTTTCGAGTGTGGCGACATTCCTTTGGACGCCCTGATCTCAGCCTCGCCACAGCTCCTTGATCTCGATCTGGCCACACTGTCGGAAATATCACAACAAAGAAATTGCCATTGCGCAGCAGATGTTGAAAGTCGCAATCTGGGACATCCAAAAGGCTTTTTTAAATTATAAATATTCGGCTTCACCTTTGTTGATACTGTTTCAATGCAAGGAAACAGTGGTTCTTCGTTATGTGCCCTGTCTCCTGCTGCTGTACACAGCCACGCGCTGTCATAAAGAGTGCGTGGCCATATTCTGCCTGGTGATTAGTATCATTCGCTTATTCTCTTCGCTGTGGTAATTTATCCAAGTTGTTCGAATATGACTTGAGTAATTGTGAGCGCTTGAGCGCCGGCGCGTACGCGTGACGTCACGCGTACTTATAAGTATTCACCTTTGTTCGGCTCCGCTGGCAGCAACGCCGAGAACGTCTGCGCTATGACTGCTTGCGTTGCGCCAGATGGGATTTCCTAATCGAGGTTCCGAACCGCAGAGGGGCAGAGTGGGTCCGCGTCCACAGCGCGTCATGGCCACCTTGGCACCTACGTCGTACACCATGGCGTCATCCATCCCGGCCCTCATCTGCATAAAAGACTTCGTCTCCTCCCCCGCCAGTCAACCCTTTCTCCCTTCTCTTTTATAAATCTCATCGCATATCAGTAATTTTCCTTAAACATGGATCAGTCTGCGTCTCTCATCGCTGCTCTTAACGCTGGGAAGCTGCCCTCAACGCAGCAGATCGGTCAGCGCATCGAAGCACTCCTCAGCTCTGCCTTGCTCAATCCTGATCAAATATCGGACGGCGGCGAGCTCAGTCAGCAAGGAAAGGTTTTACAAAAAGACGTGCGCGATATTTTGATCGCATATAAGCAGTTGGTAGAAACGAAGAATAGTGCGTCCCGTGATTCTTGCTTAATACACCTCACTTAATCTCCAATGCTACAGGCGACAATGTTTTTCAGGAGTCCTTATGGCAGCTCTCCGAGGCCGACATCTCCTCTACTTCGACGTCGATGGAAGTTGATTCTGATCAAGCGTATCAAGACTCACGCGCCATCGCGCGGTCCCTCCGCACCTTGGTATCTGTCGTGTGGGAAAACGTCTCTCAGGAGGGCCGTTCCGTCTTCCACGATTTTGCCTCCTTCATGCGTCTCGCCCTAGCAGATGTCGCTGACCATGTCGCGCACGGTGCCAGTGTCACCGCCGAATCCCTCCGCGACCTCGACGAACAGGTTGAGGAGGGAGAAAGGACCGAATTGGGCATGAAGAAGCGCAAGGCCGAGGATGACGCCGAGGACGTTGATGTGCGCGTCAAGTTCGAGAAGACGATGGACTCGACGAAAGAGGTCGGCTCCAAGGCAATCGGAGCTGGCCAGGTGGCGGTTGCTACTACTCAAGAGACAGCATCTCGCGCGAGCACTCGTCTGCAAGACGCCTTCTACAAGGCGAGTCTTTGACAATGTTGTGCTCGCACCCCCTCACGTTGGCTGACTACATGCGCCTCACAGGTATGCGACAGGGCACAGAGTGACTCTGAATACCACACTGCGATCAATACTCTCTTTGACCTCGCGCACAAGTGGATCCACCGCTCATTGGATGCCGCCGGTGATGTTAACCGCGCGACTTCCCTTGAGGAGTTTATCAACGACCCTACCCCTGACAAGCACTTGATCAACGGCATCCGTGGCTTCCGCGCGGTACTCGAACGCCTTGCTGGTGGGAAGTCTCTTGATGACTTCTTTGGCGCCATCCGCGTGTGTGGTGTCGACCTTCAGCAGGACGAAGGCTTGCGCAAGTGGGCAGATGCATTCATCGCGCATCTTCGCAAGTGCGTCGATGAGAGTGGGTATGTGCGTTCGGACGAGGCAAAACAGAAGCGCGAGCAACTGCGCAAGGAGTGGAGGGAGCTTCTCGATACCGATACGGAGAAGGGCCAGAAATGGAAGGGTGATGTCGATCGACTGAAGGAGGAGGCAAGCGCATTCCAGACAGCAGCTGACCACGACGAGTGTCTGAGGAAGATTAGGAGGACTCATGAGAAGTTGGGCGATGACCTGGAGGATAGCCTTTTCGTGGCCGGAAGGGCAGGTATGCAAACAATGATGGAAAAAGCGCCGTGGTTCTGGCAGGACGTCTTCAATGTCTATCTACCGAGAGTCATCGATATGCTCAAGGATATTCCAATTCCAAGGTGCGCATAGTCGGTTATGAGAATGACTTTTCCATCCTAATGGCCTGCTAGAACGGAATACAAGGATAAGGAGGTCGAATTTGTCCTGGAAGATCTTGACATCTCGTCTTTCGGCTTGCTCCCCGGTCACGCATATATTCGCAACATCACGGATATTGATATCAAGGCTACTTCCGCTGGTCAGGCCGACACCGCTGTCGGCGGCTTGACCCGCATCTATGTGCAGGCCCTCCAGCTGCAACTCGAAGAAGTATCGTTTTACTACAACGACAAGACTGCCACTGTGGGGCCTGCAGAATTCACTGGCGTTCTCGAATTCACGCTGCCGCCTCAAGGTATCGATGTTGACGTTGTGGTTCGCACAATCCCCAGCTCGCCAGAAGGTCTCAAAGAGCGCGAGCGGCAGAACCGATTCCTCGACATCCAGCGCGTCGAGGTGCGGATCTCGGATGATGTCCAACTGACTGTCAAAGAGAGCAACCACCAGATCCTCGTATCCGTTTTCAAGCCCGTCATGCTTTCGCGCTTCCGCGATGCATTGAGCACAGTTATCGCGGAACAGATTCGTACGTCTTTGGACTGGCTGGACGGGATGACATGGGACGTCGGGCGTCGTGCAGAAGTGTTCGGTGACGCGGGTCTCGGACGTGGCTCGAGCCTCGTAGCGGGATTCTGGAGTGAGCTCGGACATCTGCGCAAGGGCGAGGGCGGTCTGCTCAGCGGGTGGGTCGCTACGGGCACAGGTGTCATCAAGAATGACAAGGATACGCAGTTCGCGATAGGTGCGGAGCCGCAGGTGCTGTCGGGCGAGAAGCACGGGCCGAAGGGCACGTTCTCGGAGTCGGTTGAAGAGCGATTCGAGCTGGACAAGAAAAGGGAGCAAGCGCAGCAGCATGCACGGGGCGTGGCAGAACAGGTGAAGGAGGGAGCGAAGAAAGGCGTAAGGAAGGTGCGGTCTTTCAAGGACACAGTGCATTCGAAGGTTGAGGAGGAGAAGAGGCGGCCTGGGTGGGAGAGCTCTGCGTTTGATGTTGATCAGTGAGCCCACTGAAGAGGGTCGGGCGCGATGCGCACTGTGTACAATTTGGGATCTGAGGTATAAAAGAACGGTGTTTACGACATCAAGCACATGTATTATTACCAGCACGATCAATATTATATCAACCGTCTCAGTTCCAACATGTACAAGGGATCGGGCTGTTCCTTCAAGCTTCATAGCTTCCCTCTGATCTTCATGGACAACTTTCCCGAAGCTTGTAGCTCTTTAGCGCGATCGCGTAGCACGCGACGCAGCAATTTTCCACTTGGGTTTTTCGGTATGCTGTCGACAAATTCCAAGCCAGCCAGCCACTTGTAGCGTACCTTAGTGTCAGATACGTGCTGTATGTGATAAGAGTTTGGTATGTCTTGTTAGTGCGAAGTCGAGAGACAACGGACCTTCTCCAGCGCGGCTCGGACTTTGTTCGCCTCAACGGGGGCTCTTGAAACGCGATGTTGCGCGTCTGCAGATAGGACCACAAATGCTAGAGGTAATTCTCCATTGTAGTCGTCCGGTAAACCGACAACACAAACATCCGAGACGTCAGGGTGATCCAGGAGATGGCCCTCGAGCTCCGCTGGGGCCACTATCGAACCATACTTAAGCATCATGACACTCGCCGCAGAAAGAAGCTCCACCTTGAAATCCTCTCACTTTGAGCATTTCCTGCGGGATATCGGCGTGACGGGTCCTGCGAATTGGACATTTCACGAATCGAGGCTCACCTTTATGCGATCAAGGATAAAGACTTCCGCATGTTCGTTGATCGTGACTACATCCCCCGTATATAGCCACCTGTATAGTCGCCGGGTCAGTCATCAATGTTATTCGGGAGAGCATGTCATAGTACCCGTCTTTGAATGTCTCTCTCGTGCTGCCGCAAAGTGAGTGAAGTGCGCATGCAGGCCGGGCCACACGCACGCTTCTTCATTGTTCAAATATCTCTCTGCAACACAGGGGCCTTTGAGAAGCAACTCCCCCACTTCGCCCGCTTTTGCGACGGTGCCATCGGGCTTCAAAACACGTGCAATCATTCCTGGAACGAGACGCCCCGCGCTTCCTGGCGTCCCAATCTTCTGTTCTACTTGGGGGAAACATACGGAACCCACAGCTTCAGTCATTCCTGTTGTGATCGACATGTTCTAGGGTTCAACATCAAGGGAGTGCGTACGGACCGGGTGACGTACCATAACCTTGTCCGATGCTGGTAGAGGGGAGTATAGCAGAAAGCTGATGAATAAGCTCTGCGGAGAGCGGCGCAGCACCACTCGTGACCAGTCGAACTGAGCTGAGATCATAGTTCTGGACGGCGGGGTGCTACGAGAAGGAGACTAATCTGAGCATTGAAATGTAGCAGTATCCTGTTGCGTACTTTGCAGAGGAGAACAACCACCGGGGGTACAACTCTGGAGTCCAAGTTCGACAGCCATCTCAAACAGAGTACCAAGCATTAGTATACTCACGGCAGGACATTGATTCGGTACCGACTGATGCTTTTGAGCATCCCCACAAAGTCGAACTTAGGAATCACGACCAGGGTCTCCTTATGAGGAGTGTGAGAGAACACCTGATTACTCGAAGCAATCCGTCACTCACTCTATACCATAACGCGAAGTGCATGAGGGCTGTGAGGCCGTAGATGTCTGTTTGGATCTCAGTAGCATCCAACACTCACAGTGAACTTACGTTACTCACGATAGAATGGCGTAACTGCGTAAATGTGTGATTAGTGCAGGGTAAAAGAAATGAGAAGCACTCACAGGCTACCCAGAGATCCCCAGGGCGTATCTTCCTGTCTTCCAGGCGCTGGGTCTGCGAGTTTGCCAATTGTGCCAGCTGAACGATGGATGCGATAACTGCATAATGAGTTATGCACACGGCCTGATCGGATTTCAGTTTAGATGGAACTAGTCATGTCTTGAGCACTATACTGCCTACCTTAGGTCTACCTGTAGTTCCGCTAGAAAAGCTGAGGAAGGCTAGTTTATGCCTGGCTTCGCCCGGCCTGAATAAGCGCTCAATAAAAATCTGCATGCTCGAGTGGCCCTCTGTTACAAGTTCTTGTATTGTGGTGTGTCCGGCCAACTCGGTCGACGACGATCCTTCGCATTCCATGTCGAAAAGAATTATTCGATCCGTTGACAGCCCCGCACTGCGGGCTGCGGATATTGCGGCAGGGAGATTCCAGGGATGAGCTATCAAGAGCCTGGAATTCGTGGCATCCAGTTGGTACTCGAGCTCCTCTGCAGTGTAAGACGGATTGGCAGCCCTGCAGCTAGTTAGGAATTTGATGTCCACAACAACGATGCCACAAACGTACGTCACAGTTGCACCTAATCTGTGCACAGCCCTGCGGCGGGTAAACTCCGAACACGGTTGTTTCAAGTGCATGTAACGACGTACCAGACAGCCACTGGGTAGTCTGTGCAAACCCGTTCAATCACGCAGTCTGTACCTTGAAACTACGACATACCAACGTGATTCGGCCCAAATATACACACTTGTTGCAAAGGGATGTCATAGCCCGATGAGAAGACCTGTGTAGAAGATGTACTCACCAACATCATCTTCTCCTGTGCGTACACCCTTAGTAGCGTTTCCGGGTACGATGAACGCGACTTATAAGCTTACCTATGTTCCAGCGGCTTCTGAGCGCCCTGGCCAGTCCGTCGGTACGCGCTCGAAGCTTTGTGCGAGTGAAATCTCAGTAAAGCCCATACAAACCTATATTATGCAGTAATGCACACCTCCTGGAATCCGACGGGTCTCCCAGTGTCGTTTTCAATCAAGCACGGTCTGCCTTGGTCATCAGGTCTTGCAGTATGCTCTACGTCCAGGATGAACTGGGCGACGGTTAAATCATCTGGGATATGAGGCACTGGACCTCCAGGGGCATATACATCAGCCATTGTGATGACTCTTCGAAGCCTTTGACCTGTTAGACCCAAGCCAGACCTATGAGTAGAAGAAATGTGACTTGATCGAGGATATATCGACAGTCACCGGTCGAGCTGGACGAGATTTCCGATTGTTATCCTGCAGTGTGGTGTCAGGGACGGCAAGGCAAGTAAGCAGAGACCGAACCCGTGATGAACGGAGAAGTTAGGACAGGCCGTGACGAGAACGCATGTGCGTGGGCAGTGTGTTAGTATCTACACGGTCCCACACGAGCTCCCAATCCCAGGATCATGCACTCAAAGCGCTACGCCAGTTGGGAGCATTCCGAGACCATGATACCTAATGACATTTAAGCCTTCATGTAGTTCATGCTAGCTTTCACGGAGTGCAGCAGCGACATTGAAACTTGTTTGGATTTGCGCTCACCAGGCCCATTATTGGCCGGTGATCTAGCACGGCTCTCGATTTATGGCCCACGGGTACTCCTGGCACTATCAATAGATTGTGGCCCGAGCATTGATGCACTGGATGAACGGCATGATGTTCATATTGTGCAAAATATTAGCTTTGATATGACGAATTCTCCAAGAATGCTTGTGCGTAATTAGGGAGATAATACAATCCAGCACCTGCACGATTTGTCATCGACGGACTATATTTCGGATTCCAGCGGCGAATGGGGGCAACGTACAGAATACAAGGATGTTGTGCGGATTTCTCAAATTCATCGGCCATGAAGCTCAGATCTAAGAAAAGATGCTGAGGTGGAACTTGATCGCATTTCCGCGATCTCGAAAAAAATATAGTTCCGCTGTTCGACGACGCGTCTGCCATCTGGGTTCTGGCAGTCTGCACGCAGGTCGCCTCACCGCCTTCTTTCTTCCCTCACGCCCACCCCCCAGTCCTTACACCGACTCCCGCACTGTAATCGACAATCTTCGCCCACAAAGAATTCTCGACCCTCCTCGCCCCGAAAACTATGCCTCCCTTTCCTCACTATCTCCTTCACAGGTGCATGCTGCCAGCCCAACCTCGCCTCCAGTTGTGAACAGGTGACCCTCATGGCGCTCCAGCTCTGGCCATCCACTTCCGATCTCTATCCCACCTATCTTCTCCCCGCACCATTTGACTGGGTCTACTTTGAAGGCTGTCCTGTAAAGATGACGCTGAGCAACATCATGGTGCCTTGAGGATCAATTCCTGGTCTCAATTTGCAAAAACATTTCGAGACCTTGTAAGACTACACTTGGCCAGCAGAGGGTTGGTCTGCATTAGCAGTGTATTTGGTGGATAAAGGTAGGCAAGATTGCCTAATGATTGTTCTTTGCTCACGGCGCAAAATAGCCCTGTGCTATGATATCCAGGATTTTGAGGACCTGCGTAAACATTTGCGGACTCAGTCTACGCGGCCAATGATTTGCATTCACTCAGTCAACGTCCGAACCTCTTGTGACTCAAGGTGTGATCACTCTGATCATGCCTTTTCTCCGACAATTCAGCAGCAGGGTGCGATATCTATAGGCCTTCTCGACCTTCTTGGGATATTCCGAGCCATGCTCGTACGCTCAGTACTGCCAAGCTACAAAAGTATGAGCTTCCATCCTCGACCGCTCTTCGTTGTATGTCTAGTAACTTTATCGATCATTATATCCGCCGCGTTCAGCTGAGTTCCGCGCTGGAATATCGGCGAAGCAGACCACAGCGACCGCCTCCATCCTTGCGACCGGGCACATGTCGTGCGAGCACTCGATCTCTTGATTCTACGCGACGTTTCGCTGCTGCACGGAGCTCCGCAGGTCTCATGGTCTCTTTGCTCACGTTAAAATGCGGACTTTGGCTGCACGCAACGCGACCTCGGCGACACTGACCCAGCACCATGCTCGCGACTCTCCTCGCCGCTATCAGCGCATCGTCGCTGCCCTTGCTCGCGTCGGCGCAGACCGCCGCCAGCCAGGCATACACACCTGTCGCGGGCGCGTGCCCTGAAGGCTTCACCCTCGTGCGCGGGACGGGCCAGCCTGGCAGCCAGACGCTGAGCCCACAGGAGGTCGCGTACATTAACGGCCGCAAGACGAACGTCATCCCCGACGCATGGAAGACATACCTGAGCAATATCCAGGCCGTCCAGTCGACGAACGCGTCGCTTCCAAGTTATGTTGCGAGCATCCTCAGTGGCGAGAGCAACCGCTACCCTAATCTCGGGATCGCGTGCAGCGGAGGCGGATGGCGCGCGGCGATGTTCGGCGGGGGCGTGCTCAACGTCCTCGATGGGCGGAACGCGACGTCGGTCTCGGTCGGGACGGGTGGACTCCTCCAGGCAGCACAGTACCTTACTGGCTTGTCAGGCGGGTCAAACCTCGTCGGTTCGCTCGCGCAGGCGAACTTCCCGACCATCCAAGAACTGACGCTAGGCCCTGGCACAAACACGACGACGGACGAGTGGGGCGGGTGGCTCGCGCCGATTAATCAGCAGGACCCGTACACAAACGCGACCCAGAACGCGGAGTACATCCAGGAGCTCATCGAGGAAATGCGTGGGAAGTACGAGGCGGGCTTCGCTGTTTCGTATAACGACGTGACCGCGCGTGATAATGGGAGACATTTCGTCAACGGGACGACGGCGGCCAACTTCTTCGACACGACTTTGGTTCACGGTGCGGGGTATACTTGGTCGGGTGTTGCTAACGTGTGAGTGCTGAGTCTCCCTCTGACGGCTCCGCATGTTGAGGATCGTGGTCTCAGGTCGACATTTGCAAATTACTCTCAGCCTTTCCCTATTCTCGTTGCAACACTGCTGTCTCCCAACGGCAACTTCTCGACGGTGATCCCCGACAGCAGCTTCATTATTCCTACCTCCAATCCCATTATGGAGCTGAACGTCTGTGCGTAAAGCTTGTGCATACACCATTTGACCTTCGTGTTCAACATGTTCTTTCAGATGAGCTAGGATCCTATGATCCCAACCTGGCAGCTTTCACTCCTATGCAGTACCTCGGAACGACGAACAACTCGGTCTGCTACACCAACTATGACAACACCGGTCTCATCATTGGTGCCTCCGGTGACTGGAACACGATTTACAACACCTCGGTGAGGCTTCAGGTTATCTCGCTCACAACGCTTGTCTCACCGAATCAACAAAGGAATCTACCTATGCTACGTCTGAGGCATACCCCATTACGTCAGCTCTCAATGCGACTCTCCCGCAAGCGGGTATCGTCCTTGATGCTGCACTGTTCCGCAACCCATTCTACGGCTCGATCATGAACGGCACGTTCATTGACCGCAACGAGACCATCATCATGATGTCCGATGGTGGAAGCGACGGCGAGGCAGTTCCAATTCAGCCTTTGATGGTCAAGGCTCGCGGGCTTGACACCATATTCGCAATTGACTCGGTGAGAATCTTTCACCTTATTATTCTTAGTTTATGTCCAATACTCATCTGTCGCTCAGAATCAAGATTGGCCTAACGAGTACTGGTCCGCTGGTGGTTCTTTGGTCGTACGTAGCATCCTCTCTATGCATCCTAGGTCCGAGACTAAAGCACTGTGCTCAGAACATGCAAAACCGCATCAACAGCTTCTTCCCCACCGCATACACCATGCCACCCGTCCCGACGAACATTTCCGAGTTCATCGCGCAGAACCTGTCGACGCACCCCACGTTCTTCGGGTGTGACTCAACTACCGAGGCACCGCTCATCATTTACCTCGCGAACGGCGGTCCCCCACGCGACGGCGCGACCCCGCTTACGAATGTTGCGCCAAACAACGTGACGAATGACCAGCTTCAGGGCTTCCTCGACCAGACGTTCACCATCGCACTCCAGGGCCTCCCCGCGAACGCGAGTGCGACGAGCGATTCAGAGTGGCCGGCGTGTCTGGCGTGTGCGATTGTCGACCGCGCGCGGAACGCGACGGGGACCGAGAGGAGCGGGGTTTGCTCGAGCTGCTTCGAGCGGTACTGCTGGAATGGTTCGACAGTCGGGTTGGCGACAACCACGACTAAGAGCGGCGCGGTAAGCGTGCAGTGGAGTGTATCGGCCTTGATCGCTTCGTTGTTGGCCGCAGCCGCGATGATGATCTTTTGAGGTGTTTGCGTACCTGCGAGGTTGTCGACGAGACCTAGTGACTATATCTAGCCATAAGTCATTAGTCTTTTGTTATAGTAGGCTAATTGCGATATGCTGTGGCAAATGAACAGAGAATATAAGATGTCAGGTCTGTACAGATCTAAGTACAACTTTGAAAGCGTGGTCTTTAGATGCTAACGTCCAACGCTTTTACACCTCGCAACTTCTTAGCCGTGATGTCTGCTCTGTATCGGCGTCGAGGCTTTCTTCCTAGTACATTCGATGTACTTTAGGCAGTTTTGCTGCATCTCCTCGGCAATGCGCAACGAACTTAAGCCGTGTTCGACCTCGGTCATCTCGTCCCGTTTCATTCTTACCTCTCGACGACTAGATGAGTGAGCCATGCTACGAACTCGGTCGCCACTCGACGAATATGTCCGCGAAGACTTCGTTGGAGATTGGCGATGTCGCGGTTCAGGTAGGCGTTCCGCCTTTTCCACTGCCGAACTTGAACTTAATAGCTCAGCATGTGCCGTGTCTCCGCCATAAATATGGTAATGCACATCCTGGCTGAAGCGGACGGAGAGGTGTTTTCTACGCCTCTTCCCCTTGGGCACCAGGATCGATTTGGGCCTGACATGTCTCGACTTCTTTAGGACGCGACGACCATGGACCCCACTACTGTCGACCGGGGAGTAAACTGCCGCATACGGGCTTTGGCGTGGAGGATTTTCATGATGCCCACAACGCAGCAAATCAGATTCTGATTGTCCCCTTTTGGTGACATCGTTGGTAGGGAGATGATTCAGATTATTTCGATTATATGGGGGCTCATGTGCCACTCGCCCGGTGTCAAATCTGGCAGGAGTAGAGGGCACCTCCGGGGCACACGACAACATCGCGAAAGGGGAACGGCTGGAAATGGATGTAGCATGGAACGCTGCTGTTTTGGCCGACCCAGGGAACCTGATCCGTGGCAAACCAAGGAGAGTGAATTCGGGCGATGATGTAGCGTTCTCGTCGGTCGTGGATGGCGAAACAGCACATTGAGAATGAGGGGAGAAGGACACGCTCTTTCCTGACGACTTAGGCGTACGGCCGCGTTCAGATCGTAGAGAACGACTGGAACTACTTCCTGGGCTCCTAACAGGATGGCCTGGAAGGGTTTAAGAATAGGGCGCAATAAGATAAGGGCAGCACGTACTGCGAGTGGACTTGTAACGCATTATACGTGGTTCAGTAGCAGTTTTAGATAGTAGTGGCTCTTGAAGCAGAGAAAGAGGTGATGAGGCTATTTGGCTCAGGTGTGGCGGAACCACAAAGGAGAGGGTGAGATCTAGATCTCAGCGCTCAAGCGCCCATAAAAGCTTAACACTGTGGCGTAAGCCTACGGAAGGATACTCATTAAGATTCGATCATATGTATAAATCTCATAGCTTGAGTGAGTTGTGAGGTCATCTTGGAATACAGTGAACTCGTGTGTATAACCATTACCTCATACTTACATTACCCACTCTTCGACCTTCTTGATCTCCTCCACCCGTCGTTTAACCACTTCTGCGGCCTCCGTACCCCACATGTCTTCAGGTCGTTGCACACCCGAATAACATTGCGCAACATGACGCTCTGCTTCTCCATGTTCCATAGCGACGCAATTTTCTAGCGTGAGAGGCTGCGCGGGGTCCCAACGTACAAGAGAGGGTCTCGAGGGTACAGGGTGGGGCGGGATAACAGACCGTCCACGGTGAATGTCATCAAATAGGAGGCCAACGTCGTCTTCGTCGATAGGCAATTTACTTCGAGAAAATAATGGTCAAATCGGTGGACATAGCGACAAGAAGAAGAACCAACTTGACAATTTGCCCTGTGAACTTTTCTTCACGGTGCAGCAAATCACGGTATAATCTTTCGTTAAACTTTTTGCGTCCCTTGATTGGGAGGGGATTCATGATAGGTTTACCTGCCAGCTCGCATAGGATGTACGTTGCTATGTGAAGGCCGAAAATTGACGGAAGAGGTCCTAGGACGGGGAGAATGCGCACGCGGAAGTCGTCGAAGACACCCAGCTCTTTAACGTCTCCCTTGTGAAACTCTTCTTCAGGCAACGGGAGAAGCTTAACATCTCCAGGGACTTCCGTAGAATACACTACAGGGATCCCAGATGTCACGCCTTGCAGACGGAGACGTCGACGGACTGAACGAGCGAGAGGGTCGTAAATGGTGTATGATATGTCGCTAATTTGAATTCGTGTAGGATCACATTTGGCTCCAGCACCCATAGAGGAAAAGACCTGGACGATCGAAGCGCTCAGGAGAGTCTAGAATAATGAGAGCGACTTACACACTTTTATGTTATGGTCGTGGCAGTATTTGAGCAAATCAACCTTGGTTGTGATGTTGTCGATGGCATCTGAGTTGCGTAAGAGGGCTGATAGCTCCAGTTAAGCGAGGATGCCATACCAATGACCCAATCTGCCCCCTCAAGCAGCTCCCCGCCCTGCTCTTTCCGCCAGATGTCGACCCGGGCGTCTACTCGTGTCGATCGCGAAATTTGCTTCAACGTGCGTGCGACACAGTTCACCTTCGGTGTACCAACGTCTGATAGAACGGCAGTAGCATGTCTGTTCAATGAGGATAGAGTAACATAGTCGAAATCGACTAAGCGGATCCGCGATATCCCCCTACAATTCTAGCATGAACAGAGCATGCTCTCGGACAGATCGAATACGCACGATCGGACAAGCATAATGGCAGCCCAGCTCCCTACTCCCCCGCATCCTACAACAACAACTGAGCCTTTCCTAACCTTCTCCATACCCTCTTCTCCGAAGAATGCATAGTTGCGCGCTAGCTGCTCCCTCACGAGCTCTTCGTCGTACTCGTAGTCCTCGGACTGAAATTTCGTCCCAAGCGCAATGTCACGTTCAATATAGTCATCAGGCTGTATCTTCCCAGCGGGTTTTACCCTATCCTGATTCCCGAGAGTGTCTTGAGACGGTGCACTCGCCAGGGACCGGCGAATATCTTCAGCTAAAGCTCGTCGCTTCTGGCTCTTGCTACGCTGCTGGTAGGCCGTTATGATTCCGACAGTTGCTGCTGAAGCTGTAAGTGCTGCAAGAACGAGCTGGGCTCGATGTGAGTAGACATCGGGGTTCAAGTTCATGAATAATGGTAGAACGGGACCGCTAATAAGAGTTGAGGTCGTTGGTGCAAAATATGTGTCGGTGTAGTGTGATTGCTAGACTTATAGCCTCAAAACGGTGACACAGAGGGAAGCGATGTGGCTCAGGCCATGACGGCGCGTGGACAGCCGTATTATGATGAAGTCCGTCGGCTCGGTGACGCGCGGCGATTGCACCAAACAAGGAAGGTATTGTGGTTCGAGTGACTAATTGGCGCGGTGCAGCCAATTGGCACACCTCTTGAATGTTTGGGAATTTGCATGGTGACCGGATATCATTATTTCATAGTCTGAAAATTTGAGAGCGGGATTCGTCTCCAGAGAATAGAGAAGAGAACATCTCTGTTAAGTGTTACTATTTGAGGTCACAACAGTTGGCCCTTCAAGCTTTGTACCCCTCCGCATCCTCTATAACATCCATGAAGTCCACACTGGGATCAATTTCCGCTTCAAGTAGATAATCATCGGAACAGGATGAATTAGAATAGCACCACGCTTCCATGGGAGAGCATCGAGTGGCCCACCGGCTCTTCAGATAGTACGCATAGGACGATATGTGATTCGCCTGCTGACAGCCAATAGTGCACTCTAAACTTTGGCAAGAATCCTCTTACTAAAGCCCATACGGACGGGGATGAGGAGAATGGAGGCTACGATGGACGCCAGAAAGCACCATATGATGAGATATCGATATGCGGCACGCGGATTCTCGGCGAATCGAGAGCTGGACGCCGTAGAGGCAATGATTCGTGAACCAATTGGCACCGCAAAAATAGGTGGGATGACGTTCATGAGGAACTGAATTGCCACGGCAGAACCGAGCTTTTCCATACCTGAAGAACACAATATATGAGAGAGCGAATCACCAGCTAGACAGAAGACTCGCCAACAATTTTTGCGGACGTGGGTACGGACAATGCCCAGTATGCTGGATGCGACGATCGGATTCAGAACCATAGAGGGCATGGTGAAGACACACCTCCACAAAAGAAACCCCAAAGTATGCCAAACGCGATCATGTCACCAAAGCTTCGCGCAAAGAACCACACGAATATGCACATAAAGCCGCTAAGGGCATTGAAACAAATCAAGACGTTGATACTTCCCGCAATGTCGCCAATGATTCCTGCGACTACACGTCCAATCGCATTGGATGCAGTCGCAATCGATAACACACCCGACGCCTGTGATGCTGTCAGTCCAATAGTAGTGCAATAGCCTGTAACACATAACGCTCAATGGAGGCGGAAAATAATACCAGGACTCTCAAGACGTACTTGGAATAAAGAACAAGGGGGTTACATATCCGAAAAATTGGAGGAAGGCGTACGCAAGATAGAGGGGATATCCAGGCACTTTGAGGATGCTGAAGTCGAAAACTTTATACTGCACCTTTTTCTTTGCTACAAGACGTTGTCGAATCATCACCACGCCTCCGAGACCAAAGACAAAGCTCAAGAAGCCAAGAAAACGCAAGGCCCAAGCGATTGAGCTATGGTTTATGATTGCCTGGACTACGGGCGAGAGTATAACAGCACCAATGCCACTCCCGGACTGCAAACAATTGGGCGTTAAATCGAGATATGGAGGCGCAATACAATGATATACTGACACTTCCGATTGCGGTAGCGAGACTGCGCTTGTTATAAAACCATTGTGAAGGAAGACTGGCCGACGGAATGAATGCTAGTGAAGCGCCAAGCCTGACGAGATGAGTAATTAGTCCATTTTGTCAACTGGAAACGTCCATACTCATACTTGCCCGAACAAAATTCCCTGCGATAGTAGGAGCTCCCAGTATCGCTTAGAAATCGAGGCTAGCTCAAATGACACGGCGGTAAAAATTACGCCGATGAGTATGGGTGTGTGAATTCCGAACTTGGAGACGAGAATGTTGGAGAATGGGCCAGCAATGAAGGCAAATCCCGTCGCACAACCGCCAACGAAACCGAGCTTGAACACGCTCGTATCACGGAAGCTCGAGCTCGGGTCTCTGACATAGGCATCCTGAAAGATGCCCCAGACTGACCCGATGCCGAATGTAATGAAACTGAGGAGCCATACGGCGACGATGGACATCCACGCATGCAAGCCGCCGTCTGGGGGTTGGTTGAGGTCGAGGTCGCCCCCCCGTGTAGATACCCTGGAAGAGTGAAGAGCATCTTCGGAAAATACTGCTCTGTCGCTATCAAGTGGTGTCTTCTCGAGATAGTCGTGAGCCTCTCGCACTGCGTTCCCAGTAGAAACATCTTGAGTAGCCATGAGAATAAGGTGTGGGGAAAGCGAGCGAGAAGGATTTGACTGGCCTACTATTTGCAAGCCCGCACATACTCCTCAAAAAGAATGGGAACATGAGGGGACCGCATGAAAGATGCCATCTCTGATCGTATGCCGTGACGTCAGAAGATATAGATGAGTTGATTTCTTGACAGACGGGAGCAATGCGGTCTTCATTTGACTAGTATATATATAATTAGAATTGATAGATTCCACTGTGCAGAAGCCTTAGAGAATGGAATGTATTTGGCGTCTGTTTCTCGGATCCATCGCAAGCTCCGTGGTCACGCCAGGCAGGAGCGTATGTCCAGACGACACATTACTTATCCAGACTGAGCTGGATCTATTTGACACCAAGAAGCTTCGACTTCCATTTTCAGCCCATATAAACACTTTCAGGCACAATGCCGTACACTGGGCACATCAGCAGATTCTACAGCTGATGCTTTGGCACAGTAAATGCATCTGACCTTTTGCTGTCCAGAATCACCGAAACTGAGGAAGAGAAGATGTTTTCCAGTCAAATGTAGTACACACTTTGGATCATATGGTGCAAACAGGAGGCATGTAACAAAGCAGACAAACAGCCGTCTCGGAACTGAGTGGGCGAGTGTAGCCATTCGGGTGGAGGGCATTTATGACGTATAACTGCGGCGTTATGGATAACACAACTCATGGTCAAGCGAGAGGAAGATATCAAGGGAAGAAGACGCACGGGTGATTGACTATGTCATATCTTTTCACTGCTCGTGGAGCAGGATCAGCCTCAGTAAAAGGTGCAAATTCTGGATAGGAATCCGCATCGATCTTACTCTGGCTATGAGAAGAGCCTTTCTTGTTCGACAAGGTTCGTTGATCTTTCTGTGGAGTTTTGAGAAATATAAGGCACGATGAGACATGGAACATGCTTACCACAGTCTCCTCAAGATCGTATGTGTCAGTCGCAGACAAAATGTCTGAGGGCATAGGCGCATTCATATTACGGCCAAACTTCATGCTGGTTAACTGCCTATCATCTCCGGTGCTGGGGAGAGGGAATGCTGGAACAGCTATTGTAGAACTCTGGTTCGCACCGGGTCGAATGAGTATCCGGTTGTTAAAATTGATGAAAAGAGTATTAGCATATCTAGTTGATTTGGTTAGAACGAGCAAGAAAGTTCACAAAAGGTTTTACAATTTCGACAGCATTAATACCCTTGTTCAGTACGAAATACGTCAATGAATGCACTGAGCAGCTCAACTGAACCAACTCACGGACACATATGGAGAAACGTTTCCTATAGGTCTGTGTAAGTAAAATGTAAACTTGGGCGGCAGGAAACGTTGAGCTCACCGGCTTCACGGTAAATAGTATCAAATCGATGGTTGCAACGATTGCTGGAAATCGTTAGCTTACAAAGCCGTTCGACAAGCACAAACATACCCGTCAATGACCCCGTTTCTATGACTAGTTGAATGAGGCGATTAATCATGGCGTCGGGTTGTCTAAGACCACTCTTAGCTCTGACGAGCTACGGATGACGCATGCCATACAGATCAATGATTAGCAGAATGATTCAAGATATCGACCCACGTAATAAGTCATGGCAATCGCAATCATTACATCGGCGAGCACACTTCCAGCCAACCAAGTCTATCGTGAAAAGCACATTAATATAGGCAAACCATATCCCAGAAACGTTGAATATCGTACATCAATAAAAGGCGTCACAGTCCCTTCGTCCGAGGCAGAGGGTAGTAGTTTCAACTAATGAACTGTGAGCTCACGATATAAACAATAGGTCGAATACGCAGACCTTAACCCCGCTAACTATGGCAGCGGCCATCTGCGCCATGGCCACCTATAGTATCGAATATCAGTATTTACTCAGTATCGTTGACCGACGCACATTTTACTTACAAAGACGATCAAGCCGATCAAGACGTAGTTTCGTGCCAATATCCAAATACGCCATGCAAAAAAGCATTGTACGCCGGCGGATAGAATACCACACATTATGGGAACACTGAACCAACCATTGTAGAATGTAGCCAGAGCACCAATGTTCCCGTAGCCGTAGACCCAGTTGTGGAACGCGTCCGCTGTAATGAGTCCTGTTTGGACTGTCTCATAAATAAGGACTCCACAGACTGAAATCAAAGCCGGTGTCAAATGATTTCGACCTTCTGAAACGTTCCTGTTTCCTACCAAATAATTTAAGGGAGGTACGGTCATTTGGAAAGCAGATATAATAGATGTCTAGAATATATATTAGTATAATGGAAATGCTTCACCGAGCGAACTCACAGGCTTGAACGATGAGAACTCCTTGCAAGCCCCAATTGAAAAACATGCCGAGGAGCTGCGACAACAATTTGTTTTTACCTGGCCAATGCACAATATCTGGAAACTGACCTCTGGCCCTGCCCTGAAATATGTGGTCAGTACGGGTCAAGGTTCGAAGTATCGCCGACTCACAACAATGTAGGGGACGGCGGCGATGCCATGGAGGTTGAGATCAATGTGAAGGTGTCGTCGGTCTGCACTTGCTATGGAACAATCAAAGCTACGAGGCATGATAAGGAAGCTGACCACGGGGCTAGACGCTTTATTTTACCATGACAGTCACACGACATAGCTTCACTGTCGTCAACGAGAATGAATAGATATTTGGGTAGATGGATCACTTACTACTGAACCGCGCGCTGCTATTGATGTTCATCATTGGATGAGTCAGGCGAACTTTGCGATTGTTCCTGGTGAATGTTGGCAAGGGAGGCAGAAGACGTGATGAGTTCGTAGCGAGCGTCGGGCGATGTTTGAGCGGAACCACCTCGACGTGTGAACGGAACACGTCACCGAAGAATGTGGTGCATGAGGTGCAAGAACTCTCTACTATATTACTGTATGCGAATTTGAGGGGGCTATCAATATGACAGCTTAATGATTTGTCCCTGTAGAGTAGGTGGGCACCAGAGACATGTCACAAACGTGGTTCGAGATTCTGAGTGCAACATTCTTGCGCCACGACGTCTGAAGTTTGCCGCTCAGAGACTGCCGGTTCAAGAGGGCTGGGCCCATACGTAAAAAGTACTTTGGACTAGCAGTGAGCGGCTTTCTTGGTGTCAGCTTCGAATAATAGTAACAGTAAAAGTAGTTCTAGAGCAGGGACCCTGGAAACAACAGATCGGTAACCTCGCCGCGTGATATCTGTTTAGGTGACCTGACTGGGTGAGTGGGATTATGCTCCTTGTATATTTATACTGCTATTTACACATCGTCTGATAACACCAGGCTAGAATTGTGATACACTGATTGATACTTAGTAACGGCTACAGTCACGAGAACTAAGCCCCAGGAGACCGAGGGCAAATTCTGCATCGAAAGGCTCGAGGGTGTCTTGGGGGCGTGCTTCATGAAGACGGTTTCAGACGCAGACGCTACGGAAGTACTCACGAGGTATGTTCCAGAGTAAAATCAACCTCGGGCGTGTATTCCAGACCGGATTCATCGAGAGGCTTGAGGATGTCGAACATAGCGAGGATGCGCGAGATGTACAGAAAGCTGACTGTATTTGCGAGATTTATACCGGGGCATCGCCTGAAAACAAATCAAGATCATGTGGACGTATGCTGTTTTTTGTCCAACTACCTTCTCCCAAGTCCAAACGAGATTTCGCGCGGATCCATCTGAGGCTGAGAGTCTTTGCCACTCACGAATCGATCGGGATTAAATCGATTAGGATCAGGATACACAGTTGGATCATGCGCCATGGCCCTGGTAGGACGTCAGTGTGGATGAGTACTGCGAAAGCAAGTTTCAAAGGCCGAACTGACCATACGTTCACCAATATATAGGCTTGCTTCGGGATACGGTATCCACGATATTCATCATCGTGCTCAGCAGTCCTGGGAACAAGAGGCACGGTCGGATGGATGCGGTGCAGCTCTTTAATAACGCAGCTCAAGTAAGGGAGTCTTTCTTCGTCGGATGCTAATGGAAGACGCGAGCGGCCTGTGATCTGGTCGATTTCGGCTTGAGCCTTGCGCTGAACTTCAGGATAGCATGCCATCATAAGGAAAAACGTTGATATTAGAGAAGATGTCTAGGAGAAATTATATTCAGTCGAACAGCTGTGTGTTGATAATACTCACTGTGTCGGTTCCACCTGATGAACGTCAGCGCGAACAGGACTCTCGCCACAGCAGACATCGAGATCTCACCTGCATAGATGCTTGCTGAGACATATTTTATGATATCTTGACCTTCCGACGACGGCTCATTTCCATCCTGCTCAAGCATCTGCAAAGCTCGCGATGTGAACGAGAATACAGTAGAATCATTGCTCTTTACAAAATGTTAGGTCAGAGTGCAATTTGCGGATTTAATACGCACGAACCAGATTGCTTTTTGCCGCCTCGAACGGCGCATTAGTAAACTCGTCGCAGCGGACACGAGCCCAATATGCCCATTTCTTGAAATGTGCTCCAGGAAACCAAGATGGGACGTAGCGCACTAAATCAAGATCAACTGATGAGATTTATCACTCGAGAACTATAGAGAAGTGCAACTTACACCATGGTAAAGAATCAACCAGCCACCGACCAGGTTCCAAGGCTTCTCGCGTAATTTGTGCAAGCTCATCTGCCAAATTGATATAGTGGTCTATCCCGTCCTCGTGCTGAAAACCATAACTGAGTCTGAGTGCCACAGCCCCAACACTCCTGAGACAAAGTAGGATGTGATCAACTGCTGACAGACAACATAGTGATGACACACCTTCGGATGTGCTCTCTGAAGCCGTCGGGATTGCGCAAGAGGGCTTCAAGAAGGTTTGCTGACTGGTCCTCCAAGTATGCCCAGTGTTCTGAGAGAGAATTGGTACTGATGGCGTTGCGTAGATACTTCCTATACATTCGGTAGCGTTGACCGTATGGAATGAGCGTAAAGGCCTTCGATCTTCCTACAAGCTCTGCCGCCATAATTGTCTGCGGGCGGGAACCATACAGCGAGCCTCGCTTTTCGAGGAGTTCCACGGCGGCAGAGGCAGAATTAAGAATTATATATTCGCGACTGATAACCTTCATGTAAATCACTTCCCCTTAAGGGCCATCAGCATGAAGAACATTGAAGTTATAAGTACTACTGACCATAACGCGAAGCCCATTTAGTGAACGTCGCCGTATGGTTCGATTTGGGTATTTGGTGGAGATTGCCAATGAACGGTAGTGGCTTTGGACCTGGATAAACTTGAATGAGTGATGCATTCAACAAAAAACTCATTATCGAGCGTTCATACCCGGTGGGAGATTCAATGTTCTTCTGCTAAAGCGAAGGTACACCGCTATAGAGAAGAGCAAGACGAGGCTAGAGTAGACTACCCAGGGTGACATTACAGAAGGATGTGGGTTATGGGTGCTTTGAGCTAATTTTCGCCATTTATGGGCCCTCAGACACGTCTGGAGGATACTGAATAACGAACGTCATGTCACTGTCACTGTGCATATACCACTTACAGTCACCTTCACGGACGGGGGCCTAGCGATGGATACTCCTCATTCTTTCATTGTTTCTCGGCAGTGAACCTGAGAAGAAATGAATTTGTTTTGATCTTCGATTCGTGTGTTCGCGAATGCGAGCCATCCGGGCTCAAGCCGTCCAAATCTCAACTGAGGTACATTGTCGCTTTCCTTCGCGCTAGAAACCTGAGCCTTAGAGATCAACATCATGATCTGCTGTCAACTCATACCGGAAGCCAGGAAGTTGATCATGTGAAAATGCAGGGAATAGCAATCCCCGGCTTATTACCACAACTCGAAGCTCAATGGCTTCGAACCTTTCTGATGGTAACATAATGTCAGATTCATGGGTATGTTCACATGAATCGTGCTTACCGGTGATGGGTAAATCCAGAGGCTTTTATGATGCCGTTCTGCAGGGCAGGTATAGTAAGTACTGTATGACCCGTCTTGTCTCTCTTGTGCAGTAATTGAGGAACGGCTTCTTCGGAGGTGTAATAGTGCGAACGGTCGCTCTATTGAACGTCCCGCCGAGTCCCTCCGATCCTCCCGGAGATCGGATGGGCAGGAGCCTGGGCTATGGGCAGGATAAGGCAAAAGCAGAGCAAATCCCACGACATTATGTATTCAATTTCCATTTTAAGGTGAGAAAATGGATACCGAATTATGCCCGTGGAGAGACCTCTCTGCGCTCATTGATATCATTGACAAGTACTTACTCATACGCATCATGGGAATCTACTTTGGTTCCTTTGTCCATGCGTTTGGTTCTCCAGCAGCGCAGTTTGGGAAAATCTGCTTGAATTGTAAACCGTTTCTCAGGCCGCCAACCCGGACCGTTCAGAAAGCGTCACAAATGATGAGTCCGTAAGCCATTCCAAATGGGTTGAACAGCTCTTCAACGAGGCTCCATGATGAGGGCCGGGATCTGGTGATACGTTCCAACATCGTTGGGGGCCTCCTCATTTACATATCTCTTGGATCCATTTTGACGTTGTCTGAATTTGGTGTCGCAGATTGAAGTCGCGCATAATGCGGCGTATCTACGAAACGTGCATGAACTTGACAATCTGTATCACTGTTATGATGGACAACAATTCGAATGCCGGACATGGTTCTTATAAATTCCTTCTCTACAGGTTCAATCGATGCTTCCGGCTGAAGCATCAACGACCAAGGGCCGCTGTCAGACTATACTGCACGCACGCGAACGATTGGTCGGCGCTATTGAAAAGAAGCGAGTCGTTCTTCAATATTTGGTGGTGCGTTCTAGTACTCCTTCCGTATTCTTAAGTTAAATAAGACCTTTCTGGATCTCAAAGGTATACGTGTGAGGCGAGCTTCACCCTAAGGGCGAGCATCTCCGGCGCGTAACTAGGAAGCTGCGTATCTCGAGCCACTTCCCCCTCAAACAATCACTATGGAATTCAGATTGTCCGACGTTTACGATGTCGCAGGCAAGCGCTTTGATTTTGTGATCATAGGTGCGCTCGTCTTGCATACTGTTCAGGAACGTAGGCCCACAAGCTCCTACAAGGCGGTGGTGTAGGGTTATCCTTAGATCTTATATTGGTATATGGTAACGTGGATTATATCAGACCGCAGGACTTACCCTTGCTAGTCGATTGAGCGAAAACCCTGGTATCACGGTAGCTGTCTTAGAGGCCGGAAAGGCTCATTTCGGTGATCCTAACATATGTGCGTCTGTAGACTTCTCACTTTCATGACACGCCAATACTGAGGTAGTAAAATTCAGTGGCGCCAGACGGATGGATTCAACAGATTATGAGACCGGAGTACGATTGGAGATTTCCCACCAAACCACAAGCAGGGGCCGCCGACATTTCGTTTACGTGGAGTCGGTACGTAGTTCGAGATGGGGCAAGGGACACACTGAATTCACTGTCTGAATTGGCGTATAGCGGCAAAGGTCTAGGAGGAAGTTCTGCTATGAATTTCCTTCTCTGGACGAGACCTCATCGCGAAGAAATTGATGGTATACTCGATTTCTTACCAACCGTTCAGGCACTTATCGTTTGTTCAGCCATCGAAAAGCTTGGAAATCCTGGCTGGGACTGGGAATGTATGAACAAGTATTTTAAACGGGTGGAAAGGTAAGCTTCTTCGGCTCTGTGATTATTGACAGCTTATAATGTTCTTAGCTTCTCCCCTCCACTCTTAAATTCTACGAAATACGAAGACTTATATGTCGAGACTTCGATGGGCACTGAAGGTCTGTCGCTCTGCGTCTTGGTGATTCTATGCTAAAGGGTCCCAGGGAAATTGCCGATTTCCTTTTCGCAGACCAACTGTGGCGCCGAGTCGCTTTTTCAGCAGGTCCGTGTCCGCCTTACATTTACGGAAGTGAACTCATTAACTCAATATATGCGAAGAGCTTGATGAAGCACGGCGTCAAAATTGTTGAAGATCCTGTGCGTGGTCTTGATCATTTTTGTTGCGTGTCATCAACTAACTCGACTCGTAGATGAGTGGGAATGTGAGCTATTATTATGTAGTGAGACGTGATCTGTGTCTCAGCCTTTGTAGAGCACCGGAACATGGAAAGCTGTGTCCACAATTGATTCTAAGAGTGGTTTGCGAAGCTATTCAGTCTCAGTACGTTCATGTGACACCCCCTTTTACTCGCACTAACTGTACGTTGCTAGGCTTATCTTCAAACCGCGAGAGAGAGGCCTAATTTGAAGGTTCTAGCTGAAGCTCACGTGAGCCGAATTGTGTCTGCAGAAGGCGGCCAGAATGTCGTCGCAACAGCAGTTGAGTTTGATGTCGCCGGAGAGGTGTATCGTGTTGATGTCGGTCGAGAAGTAGTCCTATCTGCGGGGCAAGTATTTCTGCAGTCGTGTGCGCCTCTTCTTGTTGACGGAGGTGTCATTCAGCGCCATCAATTCGCCACAGATACTCGAACTTAGCGGCATCGGAGATCGTATGGTTCTTGAAGCTGCAGGTGTCCCGGTTCAGCAACATCTTCCAAGCGTGGGGACGAACGTACAAGACAAAGTGTATGCGCGAGTCATGTTAGGTTGGTTTGAAGCTAGAGTATGCGGCACATATTGACATCACACATAGAGACGCACGAGGAGAGCAATATCGTGAGTAGTAATATGCCCAAAGACATAACGTTCAAGGCAAAGTTGGATCAACTCTGGTAAGACTTCGCGCCCAACTCGCAACTGTGCTAACGGTCAACGGCTAACTACCCAGTCCTGATATCACATATCCCTTCTCGTTGACCATGACTGGCTTGACGTTCTTGCCGATTCAATCGTTTATCGATTCGTCCACCGCACTGATCGAGAAACAAGCGAGCTTAATCGCACAGAATGCTGCTCGTTATCCACCCGGATTGAAAGAACAGTACGAGATTCAGCTAGAACATCTCAAAGATCCTGGAGTGCCGGATGTGGAAATTATAGTTGCACCCTTCTGTTTCACTCCTCCGTGTAAATCCAGGCGCTCAATTGTCTTATCTCAGCTGATTCTTCCGCTTAGCACCAAACAAACCTTACATCGTTCTCTCTGTTTGTACTGGAAGTCCCTTCTCTCGTGGAACTATTGTAAGTGTCCTGAGTTCTAAACTTACTGACCATGTCTTGAATGTTTCACAGCACATCACATCCACTGACCCTAAGGTACCTCCTGTAATTGATCCGTGCTACTTCGAGCAGGACATCGACATGGACATTCTACTGGAGAGTGTTAAGTTCGCTCGGAAGGTCGCGGAGACTATGCCTTTTAAGGATATTGTTGCTCAAGAGGTGCTCCCTGGATCTGATGTGACGTCGGACGAATCGATTCGCGGTGAGTCAGCCAGAAATTGAGCTTGAGCTTGAGTGAACTTTTGTGAACTGTGTCAGAGAACGTTAAGAAGAACCTTTCGACCATTTGGCGTAAGTCTGATCCAATTGTTGATGACTCGTAAAGATAAATTCTATGCGTTCACAGACACCGTCGGAAGCCTTTCGATGCTTCCCAAAGAAAAGGGAGGCGTCGTGGACCACGAACTCAAGGTCTGTCTATTATGCTGGATTGAGGATATTCCTAATTCCGAACCCATGCATTACCACAGGTATATGGGACGGCTAACATCCGCGTTGTCGATTTGTCAGTTGTGCCAATCTCTATTGGTGCTCACACACAAAGTCTGCTATTTTCAATCGTCTCATGCGTGACTGTACAATGCTTATACTGAACGGTATACAGTGGTGGCTTATGCGATCGCCGAGAAAGGTATGCCATTGGAATAATCTCATTTCGGACTGTACTGCACTATTCTGCTTATAGCTGCCGATATAATCAAGCAACACCTCAACTAAGGAATTATCGTCTTCCAGACAAACTGCAATATCTAGTCAGAGAGCTGTCCTGTATACTATTCAGTTTCTATGTAGCCATCACTTCTGAAGCAACAAGTCTTTTCACATGAGTCAATATTCGTGATCAATCGCGGCTGAACACGATGTCTCAATTTAATGTATCACTGGTAGTGTATTTGCGTGACTTTCTCACGACTGACACTGTATCATGGCTGTGAATCTAATATGGGACAATATAAAGGACAGAAATTAGCACGAATTATTCAATTAGCTACGTATACTATATTGGGACGGAGGGAAGCTCTCGAGGTTTGAGGCCAGATTACCTTCAACCTGCAGTTGACTGAAGGGTGTGGCAAGACGAAAAGCGATACTGATAATTTGATGTGCTAGCTTTCTATCAACAATAATATACAATCATGTTCGAATTGGAATTCGAAGCATGGTTTCAACTGATAATTTCAACGCCAGCTAACGCCGTTTAGTTCTCGCTGAAATCATGTTCCGCCTCAACGGGGATATCCTTTGCTACCTCCCGAACAGATCGGCCATACTTATTCTTATAAAACACAATTGCACCTTCGTCTTCAACGAACACGCATTGTGTAAAAGAACGATACAGCGCATAAAATGAGTTCTGCAACGCAGCACAGATAAGAAAAATGTAGATATCATTTTCAAGGAATCATACTACATACCGTTGAGTCGTAGTTGTAATGCTCCTTCAGCACACGCCGAATACACTTGGTAATCTCTGCTTGATTATCTGTAACGATATGGTGTGACACAAGATAGCTCCTCTCCCAGGAGCAAGGGTACTCACAGAAAGGGACGTACGAAAAAAAGTGATGCGCTATGTGATCGTGTGACACCTATATTCCGGGTCAGTCATACACATTTAAAATCGTTCAAAAACCAACATAATCCCCACGCACATTGTGCAGGAAAAATCGACCCATCCATCCTAGTAATGGTCTATCCACTGTGGCGGTTACCCCTCTCACCCAAGTCCATGCTTCTTTGCGATAATGCGGAATCGTGGGATCGGAGTGATGCAAAAACGTCAGCATTACTGACGTGAAAAGGCGAACAGGCATCAATAAAGCAAGAACATGTGTACATCGTCGCACACGCACCAATCCTAAGATTTTAAACCCGACAGGTGAATCAGTATGTGAGACTTTGTGAAGCAACAATATTGTAAGTTACCAATGATTGCACATCTGCGAGGAAACCGAAATCTAAGATTGAACTGTATGGCATAGGAAATTGAACACAACGTACTAGGTATGGAATGAAGTAGTAGATCAAAACTGCTTGAATGCCATATATCTTCGCCATATAATACAAAATTGAGCCCATCCCAAGGATTCCGATATCGGATAGAATAATGCCCACGCCTATGTAGAGTATGCTCGTCAGCTCGAAGAAAAATCCCGTTGTTTTAAAAACATCGTACGCACGCTCCTCTGGTCGGAAGATTGGTGAATAGGGCAAGAAGTGGTTCGTTCCCTTCGGGTACCGTCCGGAGCCCATAATATTCATCCTGCTCAAATAAACACATTGATAAGCCATGAGGTGTTATGACTCGGACACGACAATTAGACACACCCTAGGTACAACCACCAGCCGCTAGATACGGATGTCATGATACCGGACTATCTTTGCCTACAATGACGAACTTACGCGAACTGCATGACCAGCAACCGCCCAGCTGTTGAGATCGGCGTCTCCTCAAATACATCTAAATAATCCACTGTATTTGCTCGTTCTTTTGGTGGCAAATTATAGTGTCGTCGCTCGTATGGAACATAATTTTCATCACGCTCAATGGATCCGACCGTACGCTGGACACAATAAGTGTAGGCATAAGAGTCACTTGCTGGCAGACTCACATGATGAGCATTGTGGCTCGCTTTCCAGGCAAAGAACGGTGATAAAATAAACTATAGATAACATTGGGCGCTGTTCTCCGGTAACACAATCTAGTTGAGGAAAGACTCACAGAATGGAACAGATATCCAAGTGTGTCATTTATAAATCGATTGTTGTACATCGTTTGATGACCGAGCTAAAATGATGGTTTAAACACAACGTTGAACACGAATGTTAAGACCCTGACCTCGTGTCCTTGGAGAGAATCCTTCACATTGGTCCACATGACGGATCAAATTGGTACTAATACTCACCAAGACAAAAGAAGCTCGCAAAAGAAAGACCTTGCCACCACCAATATATGGCCCACAGGATCGCCTTTACAAACTCTTTTTCGAAAGGTACCTTTAGGGGCGTATATCCACCAAATCCATATGCTGATATCCGCTCGATGGAAAGCGCAAAATAGACCAGCGCTGTGCAGCAGCCAATGTCACGGATACAGTAGTATGTTGAAATCCATGGATTCTTGCATAAGAGATGTTTTGGTACAGCAGCATGGACTTCCTTGAGGGATATCGAAGGAGGTATAAACGGTTCTCCGATCCTAGATGTGACTGGCAGTTGACCGTACTTGTGGTAGCGTCATTGAAGCACTTTCAACATACCTTGCTTCATATTCTGTACTGTTATAGAACATTGTTGTTTTAGGAAAATCGCTCGCTCGCTCCAAGATGCATTAAATGCCCGACTTTTTATACCAACGAATCACTGCGAAGTCGGGGAACCTCGCGATACTCGATAGGAACGTCCTGTGCCATCTAGGACCCAAAGGGGCTTTCACACCCTGGATTATTCCAAAACACTTCCATGAAATGATCGCAGTAATGACGGATTGAAGATGGGGCAATATGTGTCCAGACCTTCCCGAAAATAGAGTCAATTCAATGAATTCTAGAACGAGAACCCTGCTCGCCAGTGCTGATATAGAAATCCGGAGGCCGAGAACTCCAGAAATGTGTACATAATGAACGCAATACCCAACGAGATGGGTAGTGAAATATCACATTTGTAGGTTCAGCGATACAGAGCCCAGCAGTGAATAATGGCCTGAAACCCACTTTATGGCCGAGCCACCACGGTGTGCCAGAAGTTGAGACGTGTTCCAAGAAGAGAACATGGACCCCAGAAGGATCGCCTATGACCGCCGGTATAGATAACTAGAAAAAGAAGAGCGTAGTGGGCGGATTGTGCAAATAGATGGGAATATCTTCAACACTTCCTCCAACGGGCCACGAACTGAGCCTCCAGCTCGCCGATACAAGCTGTCCACAATTTCCAATCATCTTCCTATAAAGAATGATGACAACCATATCACTGTACAAGTATCGTACCTTCTGTCCACATAGGGCCAGGCCCTCACGGATAATAAAAGGACCCCCTAAAACAAAACAAAAAACCATGTCACTTGGAGTAGAAGCGGTGCCAGAGGTCTCTGTCGTCCTACCGCGGAATGTACATCTGGTCTCACACACAGACACGTATGGGTACGAGACAACTTCAGAACAGATCCTTCTACTTCGGATCCATAATACTTGTCGCTAGGTTGATTCAAGCACGGTAGGTAGTCCTGAAGCCTTGGAGACGGCCAAAATGTATGCCGGTATAGGTGAAAAAGTAAGCAAAAGACTGCCAGTGTTAGGGGGGACGACCTACTCATATTGGACTTCTAGGGTTTCCATGCCAGACCTGAGAGCACCACCGGGTAGCGGACGGAATTGACCTTTCTCATATCGCTGATGAAAGTACACGGACAGCAAATGTAGATGCACAAGGTGTGAGAACAGCAGAAGCATCAATACGGAGACTTGTGCAACATATCGTCAATACAAGCATTCAAATATCAAACGAAGCGAATACAGTTTGATGTTGCGAATGTGACAACGTGAGATAGTTGCAGCGTTCCCGAGAAAATTCCCCAGGCAAGTCTTCGTTTTCTAAAAGCCTTCAGAAAGGCTTGTAGACCGATGAGCATGCGAGATGCATATCCGATCGGAATTATGCAGGAAGAGAAGGGCAACATAGTCGAGTATCAACTTCGTCCAAACGAACCAGACTGTTTTCAGCACGAGAAACAAGAGGCATTCTGAGCCGAATGAAATACGCACGATCATCGTGTCACGACGCCGGTACAAGACTTAGCTCCGCCCTTCCTCGCCCCAACTTCAGCTATTTCCGCCATCCACCCTCGCGGCAACCTGTGTTCGATCGCGAAATTCGTCTCAAAGTAATCACCGTGCGATGCAGTCATCCTTCGGAGTATCTACCGTCTGTTCATCGAGGACAAAGTAACATAGCTGGAGTCGACTAAGCGGATGCGCACTCCTTTGCAGTGTCCAACAGCAATGAAATACCTTTCAACACAATAAGTACGCACGATTAGACATTAATAATGCCAACCTATTCCCACCCAGTATTCAACAATGATGGACGAGTCTTGCATGGCTTGCAATTTCGCCCTGAGAAGTGAGAGCAATGTTACACTCAGAAGCATCCTCAAGTCGCATCTTCGCAACAGGCAATGACATGGAGGCCAACGGTAGTCTGGAAACAATACAGCTGCGGGAGATTTACAAGTGAACTTCGCTACTTCTGTTTCTTTCTGTGCTGCGCTGGATGTCATTGAACGTCAGCAATCTTGAGGATGAGCAGGACCCCATGCAGAAGCTGTTCAGGTTCGTGAATACTAGTCAGATGTGACAATGAACACTCGTCCGGACCTGTTTCGATCATTAAAACATTTGCATGCATCGGCCACATTAGACTAATGAGGAGATCGGGCTCATACAGCAGGCACTTCAGATAACGGAAAGACGGAAGTAATGAAACGTATGCGTGGCCAAGTTGTTTCGGGATATGAAGGCTACATGCCATCACGCGGAATGAAGACTCGGCCGGCGGATGAAGCCAAATGAGGAAGTTGTTATAATTCGAACGCAATGCGCAGGAACGACGGAGAAGACAGGTACGGGCGAATTGGCAGTTCTCATTATATTCTCCCTAATATCTAGGAGCTCAAAATTCGGATAATCGTGTTCACTTCGTCTCTACCTCTCCCACGAAGTCGGCACAGCAGCCGTTGTATGAAGTTTTATGTAGTTTTTTCCTGTAGTTCGATTTCTTCAACTACAATCCTATTCTCGCATCCTATCGTCTCTTCTCTCTGCAGCCCGCTCCCTACATCATAACCGATCCCCTTCCTCCGCTCACAACCAGAGTCCACAACAGCACTCGAATCGACACAGTTGCTGATAACATCATCATAGTCTTCTTGGAAGAAGGCCTCGTGGTCGAGAGGTGCACCCATATTGCCAATGACGTTTGACGCGAACTCAATCGTATGTGCATGTAGTGTACTCATATACGAGAAACTCTTGCGTGAATAGAGGTCATCATAACCGTCGGTAGATGAATCAAAAACCCGGCGCAGGTTGAGGATGAACCGAGAGATGAGGATAGATTGAATCCTGGATCACGGGGCAGTTCAGATTTGAAAGTGAAAACATGGAGCGAGAGTTAGAAAACATACGGTGCGAGGAACCCTACAACGTAGTCCGTATAGTACTGTGTGGTCGTTGAAGTAAGCAAGGAGCACATAGAAAATCACATACGAAAGCTGACCGATCCGCTAACAGCAGGCTCTACAGTGATAACTTGCATAATGTTGAACAGGAGAAGAATGCTATGGGTAGACAATCAATGAGGATTTCACACACAAGTCCAGCACATTGCGCACAGAAAGTAGATTGTTCCTGCATGAAGTCAACTCGTATGTATGCTACCGAATTATGATTGGACATACCATCTCTCAAGATAAGCCCAAATATAGAAGATTTGATACTATCCCCGGAAATCTGCCATCGCTCCCGGAATGTGTGTTTCCAGGTGACTGCGATGACAATGAGATCGGAAATCATGGCCGCTACACGAGTGATGATTGATACTGCAGAACGAGCTATTAGCTAAATCAACGTGACTGCAAAATAATCGTTACATCTTGAACGACGATATCATCAGTCAATGTTTAGCATGCATGTTCAAGCCTCTGGACTCACTTAATATACAAACCGGGGGATACGTTGTCAGCGGCATCGCATACTGCGGTCTTTCCTATGAAAATTACAGTTGGGTATGATTTTAAACAAAAAACGTACTAGCACGGGTAAATATGAGCAACAAAGTGAGAAGCTGATGAGACATACGAGGTTGGTCGCAACAGGAACAAGCCCAAAAACCAAAGCAGCAAGTGCGGGGGTTTTCTGAAGTCTGCTTACAGCACATGTTCGTAGAGCGGCGAATACTAGGGTAAAGGAAATGGGACATCTGGCTTATTGAAGACATTGCGGATCAACGCCAGTAGAACGAACCTGCAGTGACGGCTGTGGATGCGATGAATACAACTTCTTGCAGAGTGATCACGGCCATACAACTGATGGTTAAGTGCGGATCATGTGAATTATTGACAAACATAGTGAATATCAGATGTACCTCTGGATAAGTTCAATGTAACTTTTATTTGTGTTCAGACAGTCAAAGTACACACTTACTGGACCTGTGCTCCAATTGAATGGAGACAGAAGGTAGACCACGCCGTAGAGCAAAAGCACATATCTATTGAGGAGAAATGTGATGGATGCGCCAGATAGCTTGCTTCTCCACACAAGTTCGACTTCCTCAGATAGGGTGACAATGTGTTCGAATAGTACCAGCCCTGCAACGTAGCCGAGACTAAACAAACAACAGGTGATGTTGTAAACGCAGCAGCTCACCGCCCGTCCCGCATTGACATAACGATTGGGTGTACCTAGTCGCCCACGAGTTTGGAAATGTTAGTCAGATCGTTCAAAGTGAGAACAGACAGGCGTACAACGAGTTTATAGTCTGCCATTCACTCTGAGCCGCAGACATATGCGGGATGAAAAGGAGTCAACAGATGATCGAATAATACGCCCCAAGGAATGTGATGGCCAGGAGGGCAGAAGCTACCGCGACATTACTGTAGCATTGGATCCCCGGAGTGACCTTTATATAATGAACATCTGAGAGCTAACAGAGATACGGTAATTGGACTTTGATGGACGCGACGATCGAAATGTCTCAGATAAGCCGCATGCAAAGCGGCGTTTCAGGGATGGTCGGCACCGACATTGCTCGACAACACCTGACGATGCGCACGACGATTTAAATATAGAAATTATTCCGATTCAGGGGAAGTTGCTATTCGAGTCTTAGTCCGGGAAACGGTCGCAGTGACATGACATAAATAGCGACCAACCTATGGAATATCGGAGAGTCAACAGCGCGGTGGCATTCAATAGGCCTACAAGGATTCAAGTACGACTCCGAGGACGATCAATACGAAACGTTGGAGCCCAGTGAGAACTGGACAGAGGAAAACTAAAAGAGGCTCTATGCCTCTATCAGTAGATCGCAAATCCCACAAATTTGTGTATCCTCGACCCGATATGAACTCAAGGACGACGGATCACCCCAATATCACACTCGGCCCGTAGTGGGACTTCTCTTTTCTCCCATGTGAGATATTGGATCCGGACCTCAATAAGCCGTGTCTCATAGCGTCCAGCGTCCTGGAAGCTCAAGATCGAAAACCCTTTCAAGATTGTCAGTGTAGACCTGGGAAAATAGTAAGGCCACTCTGTTCCCTTGAAGGCATATTCTCTTACCGAAACATCTCAGTCCCTATAGAGTACTGATATCTAAGTGAACGGACTACTCCATCGGCGGACCATCACTACCGGTATCGCGCATTTGCCTTTGAATCATCATCATGAACATGCTGAACGATAAATTAGAGACTCACCAGCCTGAATGTACATGTGCTGCACTCCTTTTTGTATTTTTAAATCTTAGCCCCTGCTGTCGTGAATGCAGCAGGCCGCGCGTAAGACAAAGGTAGAGCCCTTCGCTCTCTACTCTCTTATTAATGATGCCGTGGAAGTCATCATGAGAAAACGGAAGTCAAAAACCAAAACAGACTCCCATCTCCCTTCTGAGTCAACAGAATTTGACAATGGCGATAGGCGACCGCTTATTCCTGCGTCATCGCCGGCCGCGTGCGGCTCATACCACATGACTATTTTCGTGGATCAGCCTACTTCAAGCCAGTCCCTGCGCCGCCACCAGCGAAACACCCACTCACAGTTGCGCGACCTGAATATGCTGACGCTGTTCAACGGATGAGAGTGGACTAATGGGCCTCATAGCCCTTGCGACATAGGCTCGTTCGCAAGTGGACACGTTTTGGGAGCGTCGGAGCAACTTGTCAAACACAAATGTGGCGGGACGATGTTTACGACAGCACTTCACGTAGCAAGTTCCTCGATCCGTACCGAATGCATAGGCATCGATACAGTCTCATTATGATCTACGAATGGACACTCACTTATAAACGATAGGTGAACAGGTGCAATGTGCATTTCAAGAGGAATACACTGAGGACATCGTCATTCCGCGCCAGTCCTCAAATGCATTTGCACATTGCTTTCACCATCTTGGTGGCGCCAGAGAATATGTCTCGTGTACCGCACCAGTTTCGTAAAACCTCGACGTATGGTATGTAAGCTGCATGTGTGAGTGAGCCGCACGAAGTTGAGGTAAGCGAGATTGGTACGAATTGCCAATATGTATGGCAGTGAGACTGCAACGAAGATGCCCACATTATGAAAGCGAGAGAATGATAATAGCACCAGGATAAATACATCATCCATACACGTCAGTTCTGGATGTCAATCAAAGTCAGCACCTCGCATTGCCTAAGTTGGTCTCATCGGCTCACCTCTGGGATCCGGAATATAGTGATTTCCTGTCAGCCAGAAGTTTTCGTTAACAACACCGGGATCGGAAACAGGAATCTACCCACCTGTTGTTTGAAGTATCGCCGATTCTCTTCGTCGATTAAAACGAGGTTAAGGTAGTATCTCACGCTAAACTTCTTGTTCACCTCCCGGAATGTTGGTGTCAACTCGAAGCCGCCAAGGAATAGACGAATAGGTATTGTCTCGCCTGTACCATACATGAGATTCTGGGTGATTGATGATTGGAACTACGTACCTCGGACTGGTGCGCCGTCCATAATCTCAAATTTGGTAATGGTCTCGCTCTCATTATACTGGTTCGGTGGGGCGCCCGTTGTTTCTCGGCGAATGATAGAAAGTTCCATATGTTTGATCTTTATTCGGACAAGGAGAAAGTAGATCTTGCCGACAATAACGTCTTTCAGATGGTACCTACATGGTTATGCATTTAGTTACAATGGGGGAGGGAATAAAAGTGCGTATACTTTGATTTATTGTACTCAAACTCGATGTGCAGACAGTCCTCAATACCGACTTCCATCTTGATGGAATTGTTGCTATCTGGAGGCATGCGGAACGAGTGGACATAAAGCTCTCTCTCCTTCGTAACGTCGGCTATTCTTCGAGAGATAGTTACTCGGATGAAATACCTGCGCCGACTTACTCAGTACGACATAATCGAGTATAATTTGCATCACTGACCGGAGTTTGACGTTGATGCCCTGGTAGCTTTCGTATTGCTTCTCCACGTTCTTGAAGAGGAAATCAAATGTCTGTGCAGCACGCATATCTCCTGGCGCGGCCAGTTCTTGTGACAACGACAGGAATTCATGATGGTGTCCCCGGTCATAAAATAACTCTACAGTCGAAAGCCATCAGGAGTCCTGCAGCAAAATGAAGGTGTGATACACACCGATACTTCCAATAAACTCCACCTTTATACCCTCATGCGCGAGCTTCTTCCCATCTCGGACTCGCACTGTAACCTGAATTTTGCAGAGTATCGCATCTCTTGTGCGTTTCAGAGCGGGATCCACGCACCTGGCCAGCAACAGCGTCTCCATCATAATAGACCGGGCATGAGACACTAGACTCCTTCTCGAGCTTGAGGTCGACCTTCTTGCGGTCATCCTCTGCCTCGAGCTTGATGTCGACATCAACTGGTGATGCGAAGAAATATGCCGCCATGGTATTGGTATAATAAGCCCGACCCGCTGAGCCAAGAGGAGAGCTTCGAGTAGAGGCGGTTGTACAAAAGTAAAGGCTGCGCGAGCGCTGGGCGCGTTCCGACCGCACCAAAGCGCAGGCCGGAGGCAGAGGCCGAGCGTGGGGAATTCGCTGCGTGCTCTTGGCCTTCGACGCCCATCGTCTCCACTCTGCGCTGGATTCAGGCCTATTTCAAACCAGAGTACTACTCTCTTTGCTCTGGCAGCTGGAATACAACTCTTGGATCTAGCTACAGCCTCAGGTGGATGATCATTTCCGCCGTGGCTACAAGACCAGACTTGCCCACTGTTGAATCAGAATACCACGAACTGGCGAATCTTCATAGGAACAACGATAGTCCCGGAGCCCCAAGCATGTCTTCAGACGACTCAGATGAGGCACAGGTCTTACTCTCACCAGGACAATCTGGGTCAAAAGGTGAGCAGTGCCGCTACTGTATAGCCACTGGACGGGAAGAGGACGTTTGCAATCTGCAGATGTTCCTCGGCTTCCCTCATTGACAGTACCCTCGGACCGCTAGAGACGTAGTGAGGTCTCTGCTCACCATCGACTTACTGATTTACGCGCTTGTGATTAGACACTCGTAGAGCTTTATTCAAACTGGGACTCTCCTTCTTCCTATTCGGACTGATAAACAATGGTATGAGATAAACATTTCATCGATTTCATCGGTCATCGGTGCATGAAATCTAAACGACTGTGCCCAGTGCTATATGTTATCATCCTCTCGGCAGCATTAGATCTAGTCCCACCGTCCACCCCAAAAGGAATAATCGCGTTTTGCAACATCTTTCCTTCGATATTCTCTAAGTTGGGTTGGCCATATTTATTGAAAGGCCGAATACGCTATGCTCGACGTCTGATTGGGTGCTGCTTGGCTAGCATGTGTGGAATGATCGTACGACATCTCTTCGCCTATCTTGAAGATGGGCATCCTGACCAGACTCCAGATTATATCAGCATTTGATAGCCTGTATATGCGCCTCCTCGGAATCTGCTTCGCGTCATTCTCAGCAGGTACGTCTCTCATCCAGCTCATGTCTACATGTGATACTTACATGCAATTCTCGAACGCCCTGTAGGTCTTGGCGAACTTACATTTCTCCAGCTTTCAACCAGATACAATCCCCCGTCGGTTGCTGGCCACAGTGTCGGGTACGATTCTGGGTTACTCATTATGATATTTCTTCATATATTGTTCCTAGATACTTTGCATCAGGTACAGGTGCTGCAGGACTGGTTGGTGCGTTCTTATGGTGGGAGCTCAGAAGTTTAGGTGTTCGCGTTGGTGTTGGACTTTCATCAGTTCGTGGTACCCACTGTTCAATCTTATACTCCGTGGATTGATTTATGTTTCAGATACTACCCCTTATAATTCCAGCAACCTATTTCCTACTTCTGCCTCGCTTCTCTTCATTTTCACCCTCGAATCTTCCCTCTTCTTTCGCATCTGCTACTGAAAGCGCAGTGGAATACGCACCACTACCAACGGGCGATGCTGACGAAAGTGCTCAGGGGCCAGGGTTATCGACGCCGGAAATCGATGAGATTATCAAGCATCCTGTCGCACTATCTGCTCATGATAAGTGGCAACTCGTAAAGCCTTTAGTACCGGAGTATATGCTGCCGCTGTGTAAGTGTGGTCACTTCTCAAATCTGACCACAGATATTAAGTTGCTCTGTAGTCTGTGTCTATCTGGTAGGTAGTAAATGATGTTGTATTGTTGTCTGACCATTCACAACTCTGTAGTTTGAGTACACAATCAACCAGGTGTGTCTTAATGCTTAGTTTGCACGATTAGACTGGAAAGTTTATTTGATAAGGGCATTGCTCCGACCCTGGTCTATCCGGTACCCTCTCCAGACGAGTACTGGCTCATGAGCAAGATCATTTATTCCATAAGAGATTACTATCCATTGTGGCAGGTGCGTTCGTCATGCTTTCATATGCTATCGATCTTGAAGTGATTTTGATACCAGCTGGTTTATCAAACAATGGTGTTTGCTTCCCGTTCAAGCATATCAGCCGGGATCCCTCCTTTACCCACAAGGTATCTCTCTCTACCAGCCATCATCCAGTTTTGTATCTTGGGTCTGCTCGCCTTTGAGTCTGCTGTTGGCGTGTTCGATGAACGGTTGGAAGGGCGTAGCTTCACATTCGTGTTCCTGCTTATCAGCATCGAAGGAATTTGTGGCGGACTGGCTTAGTGAGTAGCCGTCTCTTCTCAATGCCGATGCTGTCGATGTTCATCCCAGTGGTCTGTAGTGTCAATGTGTACCATCATGTCAACCAGGAACAAGCATCGCCAGATGCAGACCCGGAACGTGCCAAGCAAGAGCGAGAGTTCAAAATTGGATCTATTGGAATAGCTGATTCGACTGGGATCCTCCTGGCCTCACTGCTATCTGTCCCCACAGAGATTGAGCTCTGCAGGGCACAGGTTACGCGCGGTAAGCTTTTGTGTAAGAGTCTCTGATCGGTGCTGGGTTTTATTGGTCTCATGGATGTTGTACAACGCTATAAATTATATCCCACCCGCTCTGTCGGAGCAATCGTGCATAATAGTCTAATATTGATCCCCTAAACCGACCCTGTAATCTTTCCACTGCTATGAGTGTTCTACCATTGTGGTAAGAATACTCCTTAGGACGGCAGGTATATCATTTGTGTTAGAAACACGAAAGCCTCGACCCTGAAGAGCTTTGGGAATCCTAAAGTGCATCGTTATTCGGCCTATACCAGATGGCAACGGGGGAATAGAAACGGTTTACCATAATGCCTCCGCCCCTTCGCCGATGCAGATCAATGCGGTATTCACTTTCGGATGACGCGTCATTACCCTTTGAAGCTCTTCTGCCGTGATACCATAACGGCCGAAATTGGCATCCGTAATGGCGATCACGAACCAATCATCTGTGACAAGAGCTCAGCCGTTCTAGCGGGTGGGGATCAGAAGGCTGCTACTTACCAGCCTCGAACTTTGCCACCTCACTGACTGCCTGATCTATCGCCTCAACTGAAGTTCGTGTGAGCAGGGATGCATTGCAGAGGAAGGTGGCACCAAACGCACCAGTGTAATCGCCAGCGAAAGTGTACTGCGAGATCATCTCCATCTTCTCTACGACTTTCCATCGGTCTCGTAATTCCGTGGGCAACTTATCCGACTCCACTAAACATATGGAAGGAGAATCTCCCGACTGAAGAAAGGTAAGTTCAGTAGGCCCATACAGGAGGGTGTGCTGTGTTTTCCGACTCACGTGTCCATATATCTAAAGTAGTGTCAAGCTCTCAGAATGATCAATGAGAATGCGATCACTCACATCCCAAACATATTTGTCTTTCCGTGTAACTCGGTTGAACGTTTCCATCAACATGACCGCTGAGATATACTACCGTTTGCAAATAGATGCAATACAATGATGGTACACCTACCAGTTTCCATACTTCTCCGCAACCGGCCATCATACTGAAATCGATACCTGGAGAGGCTCTGGTCAGATCTTATGGACAGGTTGATCAATGGGGCGTACTGACATCGAAGCACTGATATCAAATATAAATCTGATCCGCTTTGGTCTACAGATATTAATCAATGACGATACTGAGCCAATTGGTACGATACCTACTTGATTTGCGGACGGCCCATCTCTGGTTTTGCCATACCGCGGCGTTTGTAGATTGTGGCCTCGCCTGTGAGGCCTTCAGTCAAGCGGCCTTCATCAAGCTCGCCATCCGTCTGACGCTTGATCCATACGCGTTCTTCCTCTTTTGTGGCAAGGTCTAGTAGGGCAACATTAATGACGTTAGAATGTGGCAAATCAACTTGTCCATACTCTCAAGCAAATCATGGAGCTGCGCTATATGCGCTTGCACGGCTGTCAGAAGCGCCCCGTAACCTTTCGCTTCCCCGGCACTCATATCCAATTCCTCTAATCTCCGGGCAAGCTCCTGCCGCGCCATTGCGCGGGCTTCCTCTTTGATACGATCGGGCACGTTGTTCTTGAGGGCGTCGGAGACCTGCAATGTATTATTCGACCGTACCGTACTTCTCCCATATAACGCGCCACTCACCTGGCTGATATCGTGACCTTTAAAAAGACGCATGTAGCCACCGCGTCCACCTAAGCCAGCGGTATCGCGCCCGCCAGTCTATGCTCTTATGAAGTGGAATGACCATTTATACCGAGACCACTTACTCCGCCAGCCCACGTATTCCCTCCAGTGTGAGGCTTGTTATTGGGATCATCCTTGCCGTGCTTGGGTCCGGAAAGATCGGTATTACCCTTCGGCTCAAATTTCAGGTCAAGGACTTTCTTCTGGGTACTCTCTCGAGCAGCATCAATGCCTAGGTGCTTCACAGATAGACTAGTACCTGATAAGCTCAGCAGCGGGATGAATGAGTAGGCATACCCATGATGATCCAGGATGTCGGTAAGTTTGTCAAATGTCTCAGGCTTGTATACATCGAAATCGAAGACATTTCGGAGAGTTGTCTCCAACGAGTCTGATGGATACGACTGCATATGGCGGACGATGTTGATTAATTCTGTGGTCCGGTCATAATTTTGGCTGAACATAGCACGTCGATTACGACTCACCTCTGAGAGAATACGGGTATGTCAAGGCACCACTTTCATACTCATGGCGGAGATCGTGGAAAACAGCCACCAAGCGAAGGATCATGTCCTCCTGAAGATCTGGCGCAAGCTGAGACAATAGTTTCCTTTCACTGCTCATGTCGGGATTCGTGACTGCATGACAGCTAAAATTGTCTCCCAAAACCTGCAGGAAGTGATTACCCAAGAACGCTGCGCAAAGTCAGAGTCAGAGACGATGGGACCTGTAGGCATTCAAGAAACATACGATATCCAGGCCTATTTGCTAGTAGGACTAGCCTGAAGCTGGGGTGAACTATGATATCCGATTCTCGTTCACGTTCACGGCGGACTCGGCGTCCATCAGGCAAGGTCAGCTGTCCATGTCCAGCCAAACTCCTGAAGATAGCCACGACGTGTTCCGCCGCCTTGTCCGCTTCATCTACAATGAGGACACGCCCGAGAGAAATAGCGCGGAGTAAAGGAGAATCCGTATACTTAACGATACCGTTCTCCAAGACGGTCCGGAACATTAGTTGGTTTACCGTGGTATCTCGGTGCAGCTGGATATACTCCCGTGGTCGTCTTAACAGCTAGCGCCAGATTATCAGCGTTACGTTCTCGCTAGTGAATGTGGATATCTTTACCTGACACAATCTAACAGGAAAGTATCAGCGTGAGCGCAGCGTGGAGCGATTGCATAAGGCAAACATACCGATCAACTACCTTGTTCTTTCCTACACCCTAGACAATATATATTAAAGCTTGAGCAGGTCATTGATCATACTGACTGTCTAATCATACCTGATTGCCTAATAGAACGAGATGCTCCCCGAGCAATTCCATATCGACGGCTAGGTCGCGCATCAGTCCCGTTTGCAGGCTGTTGTCATAAAAATGATCCATATGTGGAACATGCGACGTTACGCCCTCCAGATCATGAGACCTGTCGAAGGCTTGTATGAAGACAGGTTTTGTGTTCTGGGTGAGTGGATCGCTAGACGGGGGGAACAAGATACCATGTTCCTGGGCAACAGGTGAAGGGTTGAACTGGGCGTGCAATGAGGTAAACATGGACATGGAAAAATCGGATTCTTTGTACTCACAGCAGGTGTACGCTTCTTGATTCCAGCTTCCGCGAGCAGCTCCTCGAGCTTCATTGTCTCTGTTGGAGGCAAGAACTCCGCCAAAGTTGCACGGCTGATCATTGTGTACAAGTCATCATCGTCCGGGAACTCTGCGATACGACGGGCCATCCTGACAAGAGAGCGCGTCCCAAGCTTCCTATTCTTCTGCACTGAATCCGATGTCATGCTTGCTCTATACTTTTCCGCAAAAGACAGTAGGGTATTTAACAACATCGATGAACATGCAGTTTTTGAAAGAATCATGAATTCCTCTTCTCTTGACATCGGCTGTGCCGCAATTGGGAAGAACATATTGGCTTGTTCATCTGAAAGCCAGTCCTTCAGTGGAAGAGACTTTGAAGCTGTGCTTATAACTCGAAATGAAGGATGAGCAATAGAAAGACCGTCGTTTGCTTGCTAAAATCAGACTCAAAAAATATTTCGACAGTTCTCACTCGAATAAACCTCACCTCTGCATCGGAAGCTTCACGAACAAGTCGTTGGCCCTCCCAAAGCTCCACCTCTCTATCCTGCATGAGGCGAGCAAGTGAACCCGCCGTTGACCCAATAACATCAATCCCCGACATGTGTACAAGCCTACCAGCCCATACAGCTTCGACAAGGGTGCTAAAAAGAACGGGAGTGGTGAGGTTAGGCAGAGCTGTATTCACCTAAGCTCTGACCTTGGCTCCCATGTTGTTGCACCTTCATCCTCAATCCTACGGCGCATGATAAGCTCCCTTCCACCAAGTTCCTTGTACATATGATAATCTTCGGTGTCGTAACCTAAGACCGCACCAAATGCCTTCACCAGGAAAGTGGTAGAACACGAGGCGGTACTTGGGACCGCAGGAGGTACAAAGAGTATATCCCATCCCAGTGCATGAACTTGCAGCATCGAGGTCAGGAGACCCATGAACCTCTCGGTGGCAAAGAAGCCAAGCCGGTTGGATTCGGTGAAGGGGAACGGGAGAAGTGATTTCAGACCAGCTTTCGCTTCGACCGAAACGGGCGGTAAATTTGAAGGCCCATCGAAAGTCGCTCGAATAGTCTGTTCATTGAGCCGCTCGACGTGAGATATTGAGTATCCAAGAAGACCTAGGTGGTCGCCGTTGCCGTTTAGAGACGGACTGCCCAGAACACCTAGACCGGCTTCTTCCAGACGGTTTGAGAGCATAGCCCATGCAACGAAGGGCGCATATATAAGCGCAGGATGAAGCGTGAGCATCAATCTAGCAAGCTGTTCGGGTGAAATATGTGGCGGCGGAGGGAACGTAGACAACAGAGAATATAGTTTCGTCAGTGCGGTTTGAGGGAAAGCGGGAAGAGACGATTTGGCCACTGCATCGACTGAGTGACGACTTTCACTGGCAAATTGCGTAGTGATAATAATGTTCCTCAGCTTCTCGAAGAGAGTACTGGCAGTAGGTGTGAGTTGCGCAGATGAGGAGGGATGGATTGCCAGGAGGGACCCCACTGGGTCGATAAATCTAGCTTGAAAGCGACTACGGAAAGGCGGATCGAGCGGATATCCAGGATACGGGGGCACTGGCGCCGCGATAGCAATGACTCTGAAATTCTTGTGAGCGGGAATAAAAATCGCGTCGTTACTTGAGGTGGCGTCTACCAACTCGTATCGGTGCGGATGTATGATATGGGTGCCATCTTCAAGGTTCCTTTAGAGTGTTTTTAGAGCGCGTAGAAGACAACCATTATGTCTACGTACATCTCTCGGTTTTCTAGCAGATTATTGAGAACCTGAGTACAAAACATGAGAACACGCCTCATGATGCTACGGGCAACATACAGGCATTATTCCTCGTTCCGCTTTCTCTATCCCTTCTATGATGAGGATGCGCCCATGCTTTACCGCTAGTACAGCAGCACTATCAATATAAACAAGATCTCTTCCTGTTTGGATCTCTCTGCCCTGCTTGAGCTCGGTTTCTCCAACGTCACGGTGTAAAGCAATATGCTCATATTCTGAGTTGATGAGACTGTCGAATGATATTGTCAGGATGCACGTTGTAGATTCAGTAAGGACTCACCTGCAGAATGTCATAGCCAATCGTCGTGCATAAGGCCCAGGTTGTGACAAAAGGAATATATCTTGTCCGAGTAAATATTTCTGCAACATGAAGTGTAAATTCTCTAGGTTGAAGGGGTCCTTGACATCTAAGAGAACATCGTGACAATGAGGTAAGCGCGAAGATAGCTGAGCTGATTCGACTTGATATGATATATCGCCTAGCTGGAGACTGCCAATGGGTTGCGGCGGCGGAGCCAGCTCATGAAGAACGCGGTTCAATCTTCGGTTCGCCATTCCTCGCGAATGTTGCGAGATCAGTTTCCGTACGATGGTTCGGCTGACGTTCCTGTCTCGAATGGCAAGAGTTCATGACCTAAGATGAGTGTCAAAGTAGACAACGAACCACATACACGTCTTTTATGCTCTGATAGACCCCGAACACATACAGTTGTTCCAATAGACCCGTTCCCTGGTCTGCGCCAAAATTTTTCGTTCTACCTTTGTGTAATGTTATGCGCTGAATATTGAGCGACTGGGTATATCGTGCCAGAGAAAGTAACGTAATAAACGTTTTGGAGTGAGTAATGATACAAGTGCCAGTAGGACGTGCCCGCGCGATGCCCGATGCCACACCGAGAGGATGATATCCGGGCCTCTAATGGGTGCCGAATAGCCGGACCTCAGTGAATGTCTCATATCTCAAGACTCGCAAGAATCTCAGCTGCATACGCACCCAAGTCATTCTCAAAGCTTCAAGTGCGTAAAGAAATGTTGTTCGTAGAGTATATGATGGACAAATATAGTATCTACGATGCTATATCGAACAAAAGTAACAAGATGATAACGCGAGAATAAGTGCACAGTAGATTGTGAGCAGCAAGGGTTAGCAGTAACCCAACATTATATGAACACTATGTCGTCCGAGCAGTACTACTGCTGCCTCCAATTTCGACACCAAAGCGTTTCAGTTTCTCGAAATACTTTTGTACTCGACTGGCAACCTGTCTCGCCGTGCGGCGTCCATTCATAGCTTGGGAAATCTTCGCCCATCTAGAAACAAATGTAAAGTCGAGGTATGAGATCAGCGGCATGAACAACATACCGATTCTTTTCGCCATCGGGTATCTCTTCTAACAAGCGTTCGAGAAGATGCTGCTCCGATACGGACCAAGCCTGCTTGTACGTCTCCGATTTCGGTTTGTTTTTACGCTTTTGATTGTGCGTTTTGCCAGGCGGCTCTTCTGGTTCTTCGGGGAACTCGGGGACCTCTACTTCTGTCTTTGGCATCGACCTGACAAGAGAGTTTCGGGCCCGTTTGTGCATGACAGACAATTTCGCCGGGTTAGAATCCTTTTCGCGCATCCTCTTGGCCGGTTGCGGGTTGCGGCCAGGCCTGTCGAGTGTGACCTGATATGATGATGGGAGCCCAGAGACAACTGATGCGGGAGACGTCATGGATGTAGCTGGAGTATCCACATCCATTCGAACCTCTGAAGTATTTTCAAAGACCGACGGCTCTGCCTCGCTCAACCCTGGAGTTCCGTCTGCGAGCGAAATGTCCACATCCGCGCTCTCGTCGTCTTGATCCCTCCGAATGAACACCCCGTTAGATGCAACGGGTCGTCGCAATCCGGCAAATACGGGAACCGCTGCTTCGCTATTGATCATCCGCTTCTTGAGTTCACGAATATTCTCGCGTTCGCGGGCACGTCTTATCTCTTCAGGATTCTGTGTCTGCTCCTCCACGTCCGAAAGCGGTTCATCAAGATACTTGTATACAGCCAAGACGGGGTCCACAATACTCTCTCGCCTATCCTTCACGAGCTTCTGGAGGTCGGAAAGTTCTGATTTTTGAGTCAAATGCGGACGCCCTTGTTCTGCACGAGCATCCCGTATGCTGGATGCGAAATCCCGTAAGGGTGTCGGGTCTGATCAGGTGCGGTGAGAGGACATACAGCACAGGAGGGCGAAATACTATACCACATGATTGAAAGACAGTCCAATCCAGATTCTTCACAACAGAAGAGGTTATGTCTCTCTCATTGTTTAATGCAAATGAAGGCGATGCTAGCTGTAACAGACATGTATAATCATAAACTACGGAACCCGAAATGTACCAGGCTCACGCACTTTTCTCAGCAATGAGTCCGGAGTGTTCTCAGCATTTGAGGAAATCTCTTCACGGAGTTCCTGCAATCGGTGAATGTCCTCCTGTGTGCGTTTTAGCAACGCTTTCTGCGACTGAATAAATGTCGACAGCGCCTCCAAGCTGCACCATCGTAGTCAGAGCGAAGCAAACATCCAAGAAGAGACCCAGGAACATACGTTTTGGCGCGTTTTTCTTCCATAGAAAAGTAGACATGGACAAGACACTTGAAGATGGGGGCGTCGTGAGGAAAAAAGTGGCAGAGGACCACAATCCCGAAATTCAGGTGGATCTGGAGAGCAAATCAGTTTTGGGGTGTCCGAGGTCCCAGTTCTTTAGACGCGTCTCCGGTACCTTGAGTTCCCAGGCTCTCTGTTGTTATTCCCGAGTGCGCTGTGCAACCTCATCACCGTCCCGTCACCGTCACCTCCTCCTCGACCGCCGCGGTGTTTACGAGCACAATGAGCATCGCGAAGTCAGGCTTGGATCCACTTTTTGCGCTTGTTTCCCACTCAGTGGAGGTCATCGAGACGAATTTCTACAAACTTCCTGGTTCCGCAGTTATCGCTCGCTATGTCAGGGAATCCCATCGAGACGATCCGGGTCGGACGCTTCTCGAGGTCATCCTCATCATCTTTGCCATCAGGACACTCCTGCAATCGCGTACACATGGAGAATCCCAAAGCAAACACTTCATTAAATTTGACGAACATGTATGTCTGTCACATGCATACGAGCGGATATCTGTGCCTTATGAGATGACCTGGCAGGAAATTGACGAACTAGTTCACGAATGGACGCCTGAGCCGCTTGCCCCGGCTCTCGATGCCACTGAGCAAGCTGATCTCGACGCGGTTTCCATCATTTCGGGTCCCACAGGTCCCAAGCCTAAGCTCAATAATGGCAAAACAGTACTCAATCTTGCAAGCTACAACTTCTCTGGACTTTCTGGGAACGCGGAAATTAAAGAGCGCTGCGTCGAAGCTCTTCGTAAATTTGGTTTGGGTAGTTGCGGTCCTCCCGGTTTCTACGGTAACCAAGGTAAGTGAAGGCATAGGAATGCCGAGTGGAGAGGGGGCTGACTGGTTCATAGGTGTCCAGATTCAGGCGGAACAGGACATTGCAGATTTTTTAGGTACAGAAGGTGCTATTATGTACGCGCAGGCATTCTCGACGATTAGCTCGGTCATTCCAGCCTTCTGCAAACGTGGGGATATCATCGTCGCCGACCGTGGTGTGAACTTCGCAATCCAGAAAGGACTACAGATCTCGCGGTGTACGGTGCGCTGGTACGATCACAATGACATGGACAGCTTAGAGCATGTACTCCAAAGCGTGGAGAAAGAGCACATCAAGCGCAAGTCTCCTCTTACTAGGCGGTTCATTGTCACCGAGGGTATCTTCGATCAAGATGGTGCTATGTCTGATCTTCCGAAGTTGGTTGAGCTGAAGCTCAAGTATAAATACCGCATAATTCTCGACGAGAGCCTATCATTCGGAAGCGTGGGGCGGACTGGCCGTGGGCTCACTGAGCTCTACAACGTTCCAGTAAGTAGTTTGCTCATTGGCTGATCTCAGTTATAAACGAGTCCTTGTAGGCGTCCCAAGTAGATATGCTCGTAGGTTCTGCTGCCACTGGGCTTGTAGCATGCGGTGGCTTCTGTGCTGGTTCCGACGTTGTGGTCAGACACCAGGTATGTTCCAACTCATATAGCATTTACATTTCTAACTTCATAATTTCAGCGCATTAACGGTACTGCGTACGTGTTCTCGGCCTCCATGCCGCCGATGATGGCCGTAGCTGCTTCAGAGTCTATCAACATTTTGCGCAACACCCCATCCCTGATGAGTACGCTGCAAGAGAACGTTCGGGCAGTTCGCGCTATCCTCGACAAGGTGGACTGTATCACCATCCCATCCCATCCTGCAAGCGCCATTATTCACATCAAACTTGGCCCCTCGTCTGTACCTGCGCCTCCGATGACACCCATGACTCCGATGACGCCTGCGTCACCATCACGACATTCCAAGCCGACATCCGTCCAGCCGCGCGATGCACCACAGTTCGATGCAACAGAAGAAGAGCGATTGCTCCAAGAGATTGTTGAAGATGCTCTTGCACAGGGCGTCCTGATTACACGAGCGAAAAGACTGCGCGGACAGGAACTCATCGAGGTTCGCCCGAGCATACGGCTGGCGGTCAGCGCTGCCATGTCGCGTAAGGACTGTGAGAAGGCTGCGAGCGTCGTCAAGGCGTCCTGCATTAAGGTGCTCAACAAGCGGCGATAGTGATCGGGAGACGTGTGGGCGGGCGGTGCGTTTAGCTTATACCTTTCCTCTGCTGATACGTGTGGATATATACTTGCTGGTGTAGGGACATCGATTACTAATAGTGCATAGATGACATTCTTAATCCACATCCCTGCTGTGACTCACTTCCTTAATCTCAACGACAAGTTGGGACGTTGGATGAAGACAGATGGCGAAACGGGCATTATATCCTTCAGAGGCAATTCCTCATTCTTCCTGTTCGAATCTACGATACGGTCGCCCCATGCGGTTCCGTTCCGTGCGATCACTCTTGTGAGTGCGTACGACTCGAGCACAAGCCTGATCGACAGATAGGGGGAGCGGCGGACAAGACTGCGCGCGCCGATGAGTGTTCTGTCTGCGCCCGTCACAACTTAATAAGGATGTGTGGGGCTCCTGTCCGGTGGCTCCGCATCCACTGCATCCATGGACGGCGCGAAGTCTGTGTGGCTGATCACTGGTAAGTATACTCGAGTTGCGACCTGTCAGTGCTGATTCCCACTAGGGACGACCTCGGGGCTCGGGAAGCGACTTGTTGCATCAGTGCTTGCTCGGGGAGACTATGTTGTAGCGGCAGAGCGCCGTCTCAATCGTCGCTCTCTCGAGTTGTCGCTTTCGGAGGACGATCGGGGACGTCTGAGGTGGCTTGAACTGGACATGGATAGCGATCTGCAGACAGTGCAGGGGAGGGTCGATGAAGCGCTAGGTGTGTGGGGGCGCATAGACGTGCTCGTGAACAATGCAGGGAGTGCGCTACCTTCGACGTTGGAGGAGGGCGGGTGTGTGAATTCCCCAGCAGTGCATTTGGATACAGCATCATATATTGATTATGGGCATTCAGCTCAGCCGCCGCTATTGAACAATTTCAGACGAATGTCTTTGGAACCTTGAATGTCACGAACTCCATTTTGCCCCATATGCGCCAGCGCCGTTTTGGGACGATTATATTTGTCGGAAGCCGCATGGGGTGGAAGTGCGATATACCGGTCAGTGGTTGAGTTGGATCTTGCAATGAGCTGCTCTTGATTCCGTCCAGATGGCCGGCTTTTATGGCGCATCGAAAGCCGCTATCCAAGGCATGAACATGCATGTAGATTCGAACAGCACACTCACTGACTAAAAATTGTAATAGCGTTTGCAGAAACGTATGCGGCTGAGCTCCGCCCGTTCGGCATCCGGGTCCTCATCGCCATTCCGGGCGAGTTTCGCGTCGAGGGTGGGATTGCGAATTCTCCATGTGTCTCGAGGCAGGACATCCGTGACTACGACCAAGTCCGTGTTCGGGTGCTACCCGAGCTCGCAGCCAAGGCGGAGGTGAGGGGAGACCCGGTGAAGGGCATGTCGCTCTTGGTAGACGCGGTGAAGGGGGAGGGAAAGGCACAAGGCAAAGAGTGGGCGGACTATTTTGTCCTGGGACGCACGGCGTATGCGACCGTGAGGGAGAAGTGCTGGCATTTGCTCAAGTCGCTGGACGCCTGGCAGGATGTGGCGGAGGATTTGGATTTTGATCACGACGAATGAGTTGTGTTTAGATATTCAAACCAGCTGAATGTATCTGGCATTTATTGCGCGATATTCTCAACAACCATGTAATTCGTAGCGACGGTGGGAACGGAGGCGTGTTGGCTCTACCCCGTGTAAATGTTGGACATCCGGATCGGCGGTGTCATGCAGCTTATACGTGACCATTGACACCCGTCTCGACTCGGACTGCATCCGCCGGACTACTTAAATAAACGCCTCAGCCGTTCTTTGAACCCGCCATCCGTTCACTCGTCCCTCGTTTATTCCGTTCCCCCCTTTCCCCAACCTTCTACCATGGCGACGACACAATTCGACCCGAACAACGCCCAGAACTTGATTGAGGTGCGCACGCTGCAGTTGGTTTAGGCAGTATCCATTCATCTCGCTAGTGGGATGTAGATCGAGAAACAGTAAGTGCTGGTCTAAGCTGTCTAACTCTCATCGGATTGACGGCAGCGGAAAGGTTTGCAGTGAGGGCAGTTGAACATGCACAGGTTCGTCCTGCTGATGGTCCAACTTCGAACAACTCATGACCTAACAGTGCCCTCCCCGTCCAGACCTACTGGAACCTGCTGGAAAAGGTTGAGCCCTCAAACCTCAAATTGACCAAGTAAGCCGTTGGCACAGCGAGCAGTTGCGGTCGGTCTAAACTCGATGCCCTTACACCGCCCCATCATCCAGGATAGATGACGAGATCTTCGAGCACACCATGAACGAGTTCCCGGAGCTCAAGGAGGACTCATATGCGAAGGTGATCAAGCTCGACGAGGAATGGATGAAGAGCCCCGAGGGTAAAGAGAGGTGGCGGAAGTTCATGATGTCGTAAGTCTCTTGCCCATTCACGGGTTGACGGCCCTTTGATGTGGTAGTGGATGTGGTGGAACAAATGCATAGTTATGAGAAGAAAGTGAAGGACTACAACTTCGGCTCTCTCATTCGGACGGACGCGCGGGAGGAATATGGCGAGATGAACACGATTTTTGGTGAGCAGCCAGCCACTATTATCCTAAGCTTTCACCGACTTAGTCACCGCCAGTTACGCGAATACAGGTCTGTCGACCATAATTTCCTGGCTGTATGCGCTGCTGATCCGCCCCATCAGTTCTATGCATTCGAGGTACGCTATGATATTACAAGGAAAATTTTGATGATTCGCTTAAAATCGATGATAGATTGCGCGCAATAGACTCGGCCTGAATGCTGCTGCTCATGAGATTGCCAAGGCTGAAGCTGAGAAGCAAAGGGAGAAGCAGGCCAAGGACAACAAGAAGAAAGCAAATGGAAAGCAGTAACATCAGGATGATTTGTTCGTGGCCGTTTCGCACTCGATGTGAGTAAATCACTAAGTTACCACTGGGACTGTATCTGATTGAATTTCCTCTGCCATCAGAGTATGGTTGGTAATGTCATCTTGTGTTTCTTCTTAGGGACTTGCGTAGGCCTGGGTGTTCAGCAAGACAGCATATGTAGAACCGTATGAATCGACAGTTCATGTACAATTGTAGTTGTAACATAGTCCCTGAATTGCCACTCATGGTTTACTATGCAACATACCGACGACCTCCTAGATATGTAAGTGAATAATGGCCACCCTATATCTCATGTAAAAATGCTGAACATGTGAGGAGGCCGAAGGTGTCTGTATACACGCAGTAGAAGTGCGCGAACGGAAGACAGGTCAAAGGTGAGACTTGGCCGAAGCGAGATTGCCGCCGTCGACAACGATGTGTGCAGCAGATACATATGCACCAGCAGGGCTGGCCAAGAACAACGCTGTGCCGCCATTTAAATGAATAAGACGAACGAGAATGATGGGAGGATAACATACCTGCGCCAGCCATGTCTCTGGGTGCGCCCAGACGACCTGAAAGTATGGGAGAGGAAGCAGTCGTTACTTTCACTAAGTGCGGAAGTGCATAAGGAGATGCGCACCGAACGGATGGTCATTAGTCATTATAGTACCACGTTCATTGAATGCATATTTCGTCATTTTGGAGGGGAAAATGCTGCATATCGCCCTCAGCCGCACGTCGGCAATCGAGAAACGACATGCTGTCTCACCCGGGGAGAATGGCATTCACGCTGCAGAGAGCCGGCGTGTGAGGCACTGGTAGCGTTTCAACGGAGTCTACGATATACGTACGTGATGAATTTTGAGGCTAACGACGAGGCTAATTGCGTTGTGAGGTGGTTGACAGCAGCCTTGCTGGCGCTGTCTGATTAAATGGCGTCAGACGTGCATATTTGAAGGAAGATGAGGGACACACACAGCTCCAGGTCCCATTTCCGTCGCCAGAAAGGTTACCGTATGGTGACGGAACATGGGCCGAAACGGATGAGATGTTGATGATTCTCCCCGGGTCGATGTTGGTCGCATCTTTCGCCAGGACGTCGGTCAATCTGAGTGAAGGCTTGCCACGTTAGGTATGACGTTTGTATATATCATGAACAGCATATACTCACGCAACTGTCACTAATCATTCCTGTATGAGTTACCAGAAGCCTTTGAAGCGATAGGCGACACACGGTAAAAGATGCTCTTTACATTGAGCGCCAATAGTCGATCCCAGCCTTCTTTCTCAGGAAAACTGTAAAAGCGCATAAGCTTGGGGTGCGTCCCCTGATGGCCTGGTACTCACTTCTCATATGGAGCACCCCAGCTGATACCAGAATTGTTGACAAGGATGTGGACCTTCGACTCCCGCTCTTTGATAGAGGCTGTAAGGCTGTCGCAACCAGCTTTGGTCTAGATTTCACCAGTGAGACCTCCAAATATATGCCGCGTTGTGACGATGCACTCACTGTCAGGTCGGCGACGAAATAGTAGCAGGTGCCCGGGCCTTCGTTATTCAGCCTGTCGCACACCTACGCTCGTTGGAGTCGGGTCAAGATTCTGATTGAGAAATATGCTGTAGGCGATCCGACGCACCTCCTTCAGCTGTTTCTCCTTGCGGGCGGCGATGTATACTGTTGCTCCGTTCTGGACGAATGCAGACGCAATCATGGTGCCGATGCCTGAGCTTCCCCCAGTGACTACAGCTGGAAGATAGATTCTTTGTGAGGCTAGTTCCACTGATGTGTGAGAACGAGCCGTACCAACTTTTCCCTTGACATTGAAGAGTGAGGGAATACTCAAATCTGCCTTGAGAATCAGCTTAACTATCCGTAAAGAGTGTGATCACATTTGGGTGTTGCTCACCGTCAGACATCTAGTATGTAGTTGCTTGTGCGAGCAAGCCTCCAGAGCTGAGTGAGCTTTCAGTGACCAATTGACTCCGAACATACGCAATGCGCATGAAAGCTACCGCGGTACGGGTAGTGATCCGAGATTGCGGACTAGATCAAACCGGGTCGACTGGGTGCCCAGCCGAAGCGAACCAAGCCATTAGTCTGAACTTGTTTCCGACGTCGTCAAGATCGCGCTTAGCATCGTCTCCGACGACGAGCAGGAGCCTCGTGCTCGTCGAAGGCAGCGATGGCGTACCAGCCAGGGCACAAATCCGCAGCATCCGTCTCCAGTACCAACCTTGTCCCGCCCTCGTCTACAGATGTCCGGCAGCGGCGTATGACCTCGCCTTCGCTCCCGCCGCCGTCGCCTCTCAACCTGGTCAGTGGTACAGCTCACCAGTAGTGGGTATGCTCGCGTTGAACGTCCATCCACCACAGCCAGAACCCGTCTACGGGTACCGCCGCCCCCCCTCGCCGCTACGGCACGCGTCGACGATCGATCCCACGACCGGCGAGGTCAGCGACGACGGGTCAATCCTCCAGTCCGAGGAGTCGCGTGAGGGGCGGCAGTGGGGACAACGACACCACTCGCCCTCCCCGTCTCCTTCGGTCGCGCACTATGCGGCGAATTTTGCACAGAAGGTCGGTTCTCTCATGAGCAGTAGTATGAGTCCGCGCTCGAACACACTTCCAACGGACGACGAGCTGGAGGCCGAGGCCGAGAAAGAGCGCGACAGAACAAGAAAGGAAGCTGAACAGATTCTTATGCAGGAAGCTGAAAACCGGCGGTCGGTCGAGGACCGCGTTATGGCTATGCTGAACTCGTCCTCGAGCAGCCTCCCGCCTCCGCCGCGCTCGCAGACCATGCCCGTCACACCACCTTCACCACATTTCTCACAGAAAGAATCTCCACAAAAAGAGGGAGGTTGGTGGTCCATGGCGAAGAGCAGGCTGACGCCCACGAAGGAGCCCAAGGAGCCTCTCACCCCCGCACAGCAAATTATTCAGGAAACGAAGACACGCGAGAAGGAGCAGGAAAAAGAGAAGAAGAAATCTAGTAAGATGAAGCAGAAGAGCAAGGAGTGGTCGCCTGCGCCTGAAACACAGTTTGAGGAGCCTTCTTTCATCAAATCAAGTCTTGCTGCTCCCACCACACCTTCAAGGCCAGTGTCCTCTGCTCTCTCTTCGCCAACACCTCATCCTGGCGTGCTGGCCACACCCCCAAGTCTAGCAGCATCCCCTTTGCGCTCGATGGAAGGTGGTTCATCCCCTTCGTCGCGAGGAGGCCATCCGATCTATGCTCAGTTCAATGCTCAGGGTACGCTTGATGTTCCCGGAACCCTACTGACTATTGCGAAACGATTCGAGAAGCTGGAGAAGTGGACAGTCGGGCATGTTCGTGCTTTGGAGGAACGCATGGACGACGTCGAGCGCTGGCTTGTGGAGAAGGAGAGGGAGAAAACGCAGTCCAGTGTCAACTCGACAAAAGATGAGGACGATGATAATATAGAAGGGGCGATGAGTGAGGTTCGTGAGGAGCTTGCAGAGCTCCAGGGTCGGGTAGGTGAGCTAGGCCGCGAGATGGCCAAGTTGATAACCGCACCTGGAAATCTTTCTTCTGGCCCCTCACGCAATTCAGCATCTATTGCGAGGGCACCCTCAACGACCTCTATAGCTGTACGTTCTATCTCCCAGAGCATCGCGAAAAGCCCCACATCTACCCCACCGAAGGTATCTGGATCGACCAGTCCACCATTTACGACTCCCACTGCTCCAAGGGGGTCACGTACGCGTCTACCATATCCCACTGGCGACTATGCCACCCCACCGGATTCTACTGTAATTGGACAGGGCATGTTTTCACCAGCAAATTCACCGCCCTCCTCTATAACATCTGCGACACGAAGCCGACATATGTCGATCTCGGGGCTGCCAAATCCAGCCACATCTCCCAATGGGCAATCACTACCGGGTCTGCCTCGTGCAGAGTCGCCGGTAGCAATGGCAGCGAGCTCACCGACACTCCCCCCTCCCAGCGCGCCAGCTTCTGCACGTCCCTCAAGCGTCAGCCCAACTCCACGGAAACGATATACGGTCGCACTTGGTGGGCCCATTATGGCTGCGGATCGGGCTGAGCGCGTTGAACGTGAACGCCCCGTTCAATCGCGCACACAGCCACGCGAGCTGAGCACCGCATTTTTCTCTACGTCACCCATCTCAATGACGCCTTCGAACGACGAAAGCACCGACGATTCGGACTCTGGCGTGAACGAAGAAACGATCGGCAAGGCTGCGGCGCGCCAAGCCGGGCTCGCAGTGCCCACAGAGGCGTCTGGGGCACAGCAAAGTAGGTCGCCGTCCGCCTCGCCGACGAACACGCCCACGCCGGCGCGCCGCTCGCGCCCGCAGACGATGTACGCCTCGCAGTTCTCTGGGATCGCGGCGCCGTCGCCGGTCACACCGCTGAACATCCGCCTGCGATCACGCTCGACGGACCGCTTTGGGCTCGGCCTCGGGGACGGGAGCATCGGGTCCGTGGGGTCGTCGTCGTCATCGTCGGTCAAGTTTGTGGACCCACTTCTTGTTCGCCGCCAGACGAAGGAGGCGCTTGCGAGTGCGGCCCCGAACGCACCGAAGGTCATGCCAGGGAAGCCGAAGGTGCCGGTCGGAGAGCTGGTTGCGTTCTTTGATCAGGACAAGGCGTAGCGGTCTGTTTAGAGATGGGTTTTGATACCTGCTTTGTTGGCGCGGATTCGTGAGGAAGCAAATGCGCAACGCTTTCGTCGTACTATATGCTACATCTTTTGCTGTTTTACTTGAGACAATCCATTGATACCACACGACCTGTCATGACCAATGTAACATGCTTTTCGTTCACGCCTGACGATGTTTTTAATGACAGATGCATATGTATTGCTTGGAACTTGCGACGATAACCAGCTAAAGCTACACATGTACGACGAGCATAATAGCAAGGACAGGCTGGACAGCTACACAAACTAGAAACGATTCAAGACTACAACAAGGCTACATCCCGTTTTCCTCGATAGATTCTGATCTTCGATTGGTTTGATTCGATCCATTTCACTCGACTACGTCCATGTCAGGCGCTCCGGCGTCCATTTCTTCGTCTCGAAATCCCGAGCCACTCGCCACTAGGGAAGCGTCTCGCGCGAGCGCCGCGCTTTGTATTAGGTTCAACGCGCCGATAATCGACTCCCAAGCGATCCCCATGACCTCCCAGAGCTCTGGGTCCTTTATCGCCAGAGACATCGCATTCAGATAGAGACAATTTGTCTTAACCATCCACCTCCATATTTCGAGGGAATTGTTGTTGCAGGCTTCAATGATCGCTGGCGCATACTGTGCGATGCGGAGCTCCCTAGGAACTGCTGGCTGAGACGTGGGATAGACCAGGCGGTGGTTGGGAATGGGCCCGAGCTGCGGCATAGGTAGAAGAGTGCGCATGAGGACCTCCTTGTTTCGAGAATACAGCCAAACAACGAGCGGGTCCCAGCCTTCCATCCTCGCGAGGCGCAGTGGTACAACAGGCAGACGGTACACCAGACCGCCTTGACCGGATGGCAGAGGCTCCTTGGGGTGAGACACTTTTGGGTCAGACTTAGTCATGGGAGGCAAGTTGCCACAAGCCGTGACAAAAGGTAGTGCGTGAATGGGAATAAAGATGACCTTGCGGGGTTCACTTCCTGGATGGCTAGCCCGTTCAGAGGGTGAATTTAGGTCTGGCTGACTTGCCGCAGAAGCAAACACGGCAAAGACATGGGTAGGGACACAAGTCAGGCCAATGTCAGTGACGAGAACATCCAGCTCCTTATCATGAAGGCTCTTCGGGGGGTCCACAATGAAATGCTTGAAGGCACCCATCAATCTTGCGAACACTCGTCAGGAGAATCGTCGAATGAGGATAAAGCAGACACTCACTTCCCGCCCATCTCCTTCATCGCGTCGTTGACAGATTCCATAGAAATGTTCGCCAAGTCCGGCTCGATTGCATTAATGACATCGCGGTTGACATCCGGCATGTTGCGCGGCATGTACAACTTGGCATGCAGTTTGACTGGCTTGAAGGGCGCGACACCGTCAGCCCGATACGACCAAATGAAGACGTTCTTCCTCCATGATTTGTACGGGTCCATCGGCGGCGCTGGTTGAGGTAGAGACTGAAAGAAGCTAACAGGTTCGAAGACCTCGGGATAAACGGGATGTCGTGACTTGCGTTTTGCGGACTGCACTACGTTTCTCGACTGTGCAAGAGCCTTCGCAGGAGCCATGGAAGAGAGCTTGTCGTATTTATAGGACATAGCGAGTGTGGAATGAAGCGAACACAAACTGGGCCAAAGTTGGGGGTCATGGTTGTGGAATCGGGGATTTAAATAGTGTGGAAGGGGGTTATGTGGCCGAGCTGAGTCTGCGACGAGTGGAACAGCCATACGAAGTAGGAGCGATTGACTCCTGCCTGGTATGGAAATTGTTTGGGGATCAGCAAATGCGGACCCATAGAACCAAGCAGCAGCAAATATGCGCCTCGACGAGGCGAAGTATCTGTGTGCGCAACGGACTACAAGGCGGAAAAGGCGTGGTCTTTGTTTCACGCACTTTTCCTTGTCCCATAAACTCCGCGAAATTGTCAGCCAAAATGCGAGAGGTTGTGCATCACTCACTAGCGCTATCGCCACTGTGGACTGCCGTAAACATAACCGAAAATTGGGAAAGCCCACAACGACAAACCCGGTTTTAGTCCCGGAGTGGGACAAAGGAAAGTCTTGGTTAGGTAGGCCGGAGATGGCTTAGACAACATGCAGAAATATTGGGCTCGCAAATATCAACCATTGCTCATCCACAAGCTTGTAAAATCCTAAATATTGTTAGCAACCTTCAATGGCCAAGTGTCTGCGCGACTGTGGCGTCTGCAAAAAGGCCCACTGACCTACAACAACGTAGCATGAATCCGATAGCGGAAACAATTAAGCATCATGAACCCCGCCAGCCACGAGTACGCTGACTGTGTGCGTCCATCTTCCAAGTTTTCCCCGATGCGGAGCGAGGGCGAAGATAACTGGAAGAAGCAGAGCGTTGGGGCGGGACATCCGCAATATAGCCAAGCGGTGTTAGCATCGACGTCTGGAGAAGTAAGCATACGTAGGGCCTGCGCCACAAGTTCATAAAGGTGAGGAAGTATCGTCTCAGACCGTTCCCTCCGATGTGGTAATAATTGAGCGCAGAATGTCCAGTGTGCTTGAGTAACCTGTTTGTTCTGACAAGTGTCCTAGACGCAGCCTATTGTGACGCTGTGGGGATGCATACAGTACCAGCGAACACGGAACCGTTGTCGAACTTCATCCAACCGATAATATTTGAGGTGCGTGGAGGGGTCCGTGGTATCTAGGTCAGACAGCATGTTCCACAGAGCGTCGATTGAGGCCAGAAGGGAGACGATACTCTGACAATTAGGAGGGGTCACAAGTGATGCGTCTGGTAGCGAAGAGCATCGACTGAACGACCGAGCGATCGACAAGACAACAGAAAAAGTCAAAATCCCAACGAACACAGCATGGCCACAAGTGAGTCCCCGAATGTTAGATCTCCAAGAATATTGAGATGCCGTTGACAAATTCTAGAGGAATAGAGATAGAGGTGGTGCCTCTCTACTTCAGTATCCTGTGGGTCGACTAGCAGATGAGCTAGTGGGCGGAAAGGGGAGGGGGAGACAAAAGAAGTCCCCCCTTTTTATATAGCGAAGCTCATCTTCGCAGAGCGCCCGTAAATCCACGGAGAGCGTGGCTGGTACGTAAAATTGACAGCGGCCACTCCATTTTGACAGATCACGCACACCCTTGTGGCCCTGTCAAACGAGGTCCGTGCGTTGTTAGTTCAGAGTTGAATCCTGCTCACGAGTGAAGACGCCTAGCTAGACGACACTTAAACTCGCCTATAGATGAAATACTCGAAGACGTTAATGGCAAGTAAACAGACCTTGTATGGGGTGAGCAGAACGTACGATGGGTTAATGCATTTGACAACAACAATGCGTACGATGAATAAGGCACAGGGACAATAGCTGACGGACGAGCGTCTGCGACTCGACAGCGCAGGAAGACGCATCATGAACGCACTGAGGCATTTCAAAATCCTATTTTTCTGCATTTTCAGGACGTTGTTGCAAGGCAGGTCAAATGTTGAGACTCACTTGTCAATTTAGAGGGTTGAATCGTGATCATGGCAAGTGGGGTGCGGCCATGACAACACCAAATTGTACCACTGGAACATGTAGCTTAGGACGCCGAAGTATACGATTAACACAATAATATTAGTATAGCTCGAGAGCTAACTGTATGCAGTAGTTAAACCGTAGCAGCATTTCGACAGCCTATGCTTACCTTCCCAGCTCAGTGGCGGCAACTTGTGTGAAGGTTGGGGTGATCGGCCCCCCAAATTCGAGTGCAGCTCCCTTTAGCGCCGGAGATCCATCCATGCCAAATCCTTTCCTCATCCCCTCGTTCGATCGGCGCCATCCAGCGCCTTTGAGTGCATTGACGAAAGAAAAAAGACTATACATACAAAAAATAGTACACAGCAATATATTTGCAACATATAGTGATCCAGATCGTGTATAGCTACAAAATTGTCCCTAAGCAAGTCTGTCCGAACGTGTATTATGAGGATATAATTGAGAACTTGGTCTGATTGCACGTAAGTAGCATCTCAGAGTAATAAGCGGTTCGCACATCGCGATCATAATTAGACGAATAAAGTGTTCTCCAAACACGAAGACTTCGGGTCCGATAATCCACGACTTACATTATAACGCACTCTCTGTCTTCGAGCTTCTTGCTTGCAATCCCCACGTCATGCAGCGAGTGTGGAACTCTGTGGCGCAGGTGCGGTCGTTGCTGCGGCGACTTGGGCACCTTCTCAACAGGCGGGGGTGAAGCAGGAGTGTGGTGGGCGCCCCAACCCTGTTTCCACTTTGGCGACCGCTGTTTTGTAGCATTTGTGAGGGAGGTAAGAGACTCGGGCGCAGGATCAGATCGAGGTCGCGGTGCCGATGACTTTGGAGGCCTACTGATCCGACCAGGTGCGCTAGCGAGTTCAAGATCAGACTGAGCCTTCCTGAGCGAGTATGGATCTGCACTATGCAGCGTAGGTGAGGGCGACAACACAGGTGCATAAGGTGTATACGGCGTCATGGTCTCGTCCGACTGCATGGCATTATATCGCTGCGAATTGAGCACCATTACGGGGTTGGCGCAAGCTGCTGGTAATGGAGGTGGTATCTGGTTCGCTGGTTCTTGTGCCTGCACGAAGCGGATGACATTAATAGGCGTGGTGGGACTTAACTGTGATCTGGTTGGTCGGTCTTGCATCGTGGATGGTGGCGGTGATAGCGCGCTTCGCGTAGGAATAGAACCCGCAAATTTGGGCGGCTCAGGAGCGAATGAGACAGCAGTCGGGCGCATGGACGGTATGGCAGCGGCAGGAGGTGGGCGAGGAATCGAAGGAGTAGTCGTTGAACTAGACGGAGGTCGAGAGTAGGCTTTATCTACTGCCTGCGACCGCAATCGCGCGAGTGTACGAGTCCGTATCAACCGCGTCTCGGTCAAATTCTCGTGCTCTTTCCTAGAAAGAGATGTTTGGCGGGAGAGTGTCTGCAAACGCTCGTGCGCATCAGCATTCCCCTGTTGTGACGCCTGAGCGACAGCGGAATGAGTCCAAGGGAGATTAGCTAGACCTTGGCAGACGCACCAACGAATACCATCTTTTTGCAACGGCCACATCCTTTATACTACCAATGCCAATCTCGGTATAATATCCCATAGCGAACTGAGCACTTGCAAGCCCCCTTTTCGCAGCACTTTTCGCGAACGAGTATGACAGACCTTCGTCCCGCTCAAAAGCGTCTTCGCATCCGCACAAAAACCATTTGCTGAGAGCCATGTCTGCTTCAGTATTGCCTTGACTGCTCGCCAGGTAGTAGTATTGTACGCTGAGAACGGGGTCAAAAGGAAAGGGCCCATCGGCGACCTCGTGTGCGCGTCCAACGTAAAACTGCGCAGGCGCATAATTGAGATATGCTGCGCGCTCTAACTGCTTGCGTGCCTCCAAATGAGGAGAGGAGCCATAAGGAATAAAGGGCTCGATGAGTTCAGGAGAGACCTGCGCAGAGAACTCATTCAAGAGAAGAAGACCGTAGGTGAATGCGGGTTCCGAAACGTCCAGGGTAGCTCGAATAGCAGCCTGTTTAAGCAATGGAAAGGCTGTTGCGGCAGAAGCTGCCAGACCCATCTCCCCCAATAGATGTGCTAAGCCCATGCGCTGAACATTGGTGAGAACATACTATGGATGCACATTGCGATAGAGCACTTACGTATAAACAGCTCGGGACATTGTGACTGACTCCGCAATCATAACAACTCAACGCATTAGCCAGATCACCAGCTTTCTCCAAATCTTGCCCGACCCTAAACCAGGCTGGGTGATATCCGGCCTTTGCGGCCTGATCAAAGTGCGAAAATGCGTTCTTGCAGTTCGGTGAGATGTATTGAGGGTAAGCACCGCTGGCTTCGCAAAGAGCGCAGAGGTATATAGCTTCTGCGACGTAGCCGGGCACAAAACTTTGCTTTGACTTCTTTCGCGCCGCGAGCTTTAGAAGCATTGGAAGTGCAACATCGATAAGGCGCTGGAGGGCAGGGTCACTGATTGGTGCAGGGCTTTCAGGAGAGTTGATCGTGAGCTGACGTCGCTGCGAAACATCAACCAGGTAAAGAACATCACGGCACCACGCCACTTGACTGGAGGGATCGCTGGTCGGCTGCTGGATGGAGGATAGGAGTGTAGAAAGTATGGTTGCCGTCGGGAGATGGGCAACAAGATATGAAGTCGCAGATGCATCAAGAATCTGTCTAGGTGACTTTAGAATCTGAGCCGGGCGGTCGTGCAAACCAAAATCTAGAGAGGTGGCACGCAGTCGCTTCGGGGAGTGTTTGGGTGTTGCACGGCTATGAGAGGCTGGTTCGACGGGCTTGTTCATGGTGCAGATGGCGACCTGAAAGTCATGCAGCAGCACGTATGAGACAGAAAAAGAGGCAACTTTACCCTTTTTAGCTTATAAATGTTACTTGCAACCCTTCCTAGTCAAGTTGAGCTGACGTATCCTCCCACCCTATATTTGCGGGAAGATGACAAAAGTGCGATGAAGAGATAAAAGGGAAATGAAAGCGTGCAGACGGCGCGGAGTGCACGAGCACTGCTAGATGAGGGATGGCTGAGCACGGCAGCATGCCCACCGAGGGGCACGGAACGAACACAGCCATGATCCGCCCCTAATACCTGAGTCGGCTGGGTAACTAGGTTCCACCCGTGCTCCAAAACTGTGATCGTGGTAGTGGCTGAGCGCCGCGCTGCAAGGCGAGAGAGCCGCAGTCTCTCGAGCGCACAGCATTGAAGGGTGGCAATGCAGCTAGCTCCCGCAGTCTACTCGTCCCAACTTGGCACTGGGTAGCATGGCTGCGTCGTCTAAGGCCACCGACGTCAACTCTTTAGCTTAGATAAAACTGCGCCGAGGGAACAGGCAAAACTTCGTATCTGTCGCATCGACAGGGGCCCTAGCGAAAGGTGAAGACAGTTAGGGGGACGGAATCAAATGACCGCAGCGCACTATAATCATTGCGCGCCGGTTGGAGCCATTGGAGGCTATTTCATGCAGTAGATCCGACTCGGACTCACTGGTCTGGCAAGCGACCAGCAGGAACTCAGAGACAAAAGGACGATAGAATTCGAAGCAGGCAGCGCCAGTCACTAGCTAGCACGTGATATACCGTCACGCGTCGGGGAGTGACTATTCATCAAGCGCAGTCACACATGCGTGACCGGCGATGTCCAATTGACCCCGATCCCGACCTATTTTCCTCAGTTATCACCTTCCGTCTGGTAATCCCAACATGGCCCACGCGGGTCCATCTCCCTCATTGACGTCGAAAAAGCGTGCTGGCGCAAGAAAGAATGCCATAAGATTGTCAAAGTCCAAGAAAATCTCCGAGATACACGCTGTGGACGCCTTAGAGCAGGCTGCTCTGCAGTTCGTGAGTGCAAGCCCTCTGACCGTCGCCGTTGTGTGTGCTCATGCATTAACACAGTTTTGGTTGATAGGATGCGCCACCTGATTTGAAGCTCTTTGCTGACTTGCCCATCTCGGATGCTACCAAGCGAGGTGAGGGGCGAGGATTCGTCCTGGAGGCGCATCTCACTCGTCTGCTTCAGGCTTGAAGAAGGCTTTCTTCGTTAAGATGACGGACATCCAAGCGAAAAGTCTTTCCATTTCCCTCAAGGGCAAGGATGTCCTTGGTGCAGCTCGTACAGGAAGTGGGAAAACCCTTGCTTTCTTGATCCCGGTCCTAGAAATGCTGTATCGTCGAAAGTGGGGGCCTCAGGACGGGCTGGGCGCTCTCATCATATCACCTACGCGAGAATTGGTGGGTGTAAGTACAACCGTCATATGTTCAATCGTCTCATTCCCCTCAGGCAGTGCAAATTTTCGACGTCCTGCGTTCGATAGGTGGCTATCATAGCTTTTCTGCTGGTTTAGTTATCGGTGGAAAGAATCTCAACGACGAGCGGGAGCGTCTGTCGCGCATGAACATTTTGGTTGCTACTCCTGGTCGTCTATTACAGCACATGGACCAAACGATCGGCTTCGAATGCGATAATTTGCAGATGCTAGGTCTATATACTCTCATTTTTGCACCCCCTCGTTCTCACACTATCATATGCAGTCCTGGATGAAGCCGATCGAATATTGGACATGGGATTCCAGCGCACACTCTCCGCGCTGCTGTCACATCTTCCCAAATCTCGCCAGACCCTTCTCTTCTCTGCCACTCAGACCAACTCGGTATCTGACTTGGCACGTCTGAGTTTGAAGGATCCCGTTTATGTTGGCGTCCAGGAGCTCGATAGTGCCGGTGCTACGCCGAAGAGCCTTGAGCAGCACTACGTCGTCTGCGAGCTCGATAAGAAATTGGATATACTTTGGAGTTTCATCAAAGCCCACTTGCAAAATAAAGTTCTCGTTTTTCTCTCGAGCTGCAAGCAGGTGCGGTTTGTATTCGAGACATTTTGTAAAATGCATCCGGGCGTGCCATTGTTGCAACTTCACGGAAAGCAGAAGCAGATGACGCGCCTATCGACCTTCCAGCGATTTACGACGATGAAGCATGCTGTGCTCTTTGCGACGGATATCGCTGCACGGGGGCTTGATTTCCCTTCGGTGGACTGGGTACTTCAAGTGGACGCGCCCGAGGATGCAGAGACGTATATTCATCGCGTGGGACGGACGGCTAGGTACGAAAGCTCAGGCAAAGGGCTGCTTTTCGTCGTGCCGAGTGAGGAGGATGGGATGAGGCGTGCGCTGGAGAAGAAGAATATTGTGGTGGAAAAGATCAAGATTAAGGCGAGCAAGACGCAGAGTATCGAAAACCAGCTCCAGAACCTTGCATTCCAGGACCCTGAGATCAAGTATCTCGGACAGCGTGTGCGTGTAGGCACCGATGCTCGGGTCTCTCACTCACGTTCTGCTCTTAATTCCAGGCGTTCGTCTCTTACCTCCGTTCGGTCTTCTTGCAGAAAGACAAGTCCATATTTAAGTTGAACGAGCTCCCTGTTGAGCGTTTTGCTGAGGCCCTTGGATTGCCGGGTATGCCCAAGATTAAGTTCCTCGGCAAGGAAATGGCGAAGAAGAAGAAGAATGCGTCTCATGCTATCATAGCTCCCGAATCTGTTCTATCGAATCAGAAAGCTAATCTGCTCGATAGTGAGCTGGGCGAGAGCGAGGATGAGGGTGATTTATTGGAGCATAGCTCCAGCGAAGAGGAAGAAACCTCACCACCTGTTCCAGGACCATCAGAGCCAGATAAGGCAAGCTAGTCTCATTGAGATGCGGTTTTCTATGGCGCTGACTCATCCTTGACCCGCCAGTCCAATCGTGTGCGCACAAAATATGACCGCATGTTCGAGCGCAAAAACCAAAGCATCCTCTCTGAGCACTACACCAAACTCGTTGACCATTCCATTGATCGAAACCAAGATGCCGACTCGGAGGACGATTTCATTACACTCAAAAGAGCCGATCACGACCTCCCAGGCGACGGCGAGCTTCCGGAGTCCGAATTCACTTCGAAACGGAAGGTGAAGATGGCGATGTCGAAGAAGGCAATCGCGAAGTCGGGGCCGAAAGGGAATAAGTTGGTATTCGACGAAGACGGCCTCGCGCATGAGATATATGAGCTGAAGACGACCAACGAGGTTTTCCGAGGAGCGGATGACATCAAGGAAGCAGGACGGAAATTCGCCGAGGGCGAGAGAGGAAAGATGCAAGAAGCGGATGTGGTCGACAAGGCAGAGGCGAAAGAGAAGAAACGCGAAAAGAAACGAAAACGGAAGGAACGTGAGAAAGAGGTAAATGCTGATGTTTCCTCGTTTTGGCAGAACTGACACAATTACAGGAAATGGGGCACGATGACGGCGAAGGAATGCCGATGACGACGACTCTGGCCCCCGTTGAAGACGGCGATGGATATGTAAGCCCCGACTTCGACCTGCCGTCGGAATCTGAAGACGATCTCGATGCTGCGCCTCCACCTCCGAAGCGCGCAAAGGCGCAGAGTCGCAAACGTGATGTAGATTCGGATTTGGAGGAAGAAGAGCAACTGGCACTGCAGTTCCTCCGTAGTCGATGATAAGACTCGTTCCTCTACAGGATTATACTATTCATTTGCATACGTATCGTTGAGTATTCGGTAATTCAGTGGTTGTCATGACTTTGCTTGACGCTCCAGGAGCCGATCTGCAACTTCGCTGTAGAAAAGCGAAGATGTTCAATAAGATGCTTCATTTCTGAACGAGTAGTATCTAAATTGTCAACCGAGGATAAGCTTCGTCTGACGCCCGCTGATGTTGAAATGACATTCTATGTATGACGCTGACGCTGTTTTTTCAGGGCAAAGGCTTTCGGCTGGCGCGCAGGAAAGGAACGTGCATATGTGTCATATGATTCTGACAAGGCCCCTCTTCAGATTTCCGATTACTGGGGCTCCAACTTGGCTCCAATCGCCAAGGTCATAAGATCAATCCGCAAAGGGACGTTCCCGCCTCTGCGCTACAGGCCGCCGGTTTCCCCCTGAGCGAGAATCGCGAGGCATATACTAACAACTAGTAGCTCGTGCAGCGAGTCAGGATAACTTGATCCTGACTCGGTCAGTGACCATCTCGAACCTCGTACACTATGCGTCCCCATGGGCTATCGAATACGTGTACGCGAGCCTCATCCTGAAGATTCCATTTTATCTCGCCAGCTATGTCGCACTCATCCAACCCTTGGGCTCCTCGCGTGTCCGACGAGGAGAGATATTCAGAAGAGACGTTTCTACAGGGTGCGCTCCTCTCCAACATCGCGTACGGCATGCAGGTCGCGCTCTTTCCGATGTGTTTCACTGCGCTGTGGCAAAAAATCGACCGGTTCAATTATCGACGCCAGATCTCGCTCCTCGTCTTTGTTTCTCTCATTTTCATTATCGGCACGCTCTACATGGGCGCCCAAGCCAAGTTCACGCAGCAGGCGTTCATCGAGTATCGCGACTATCCCGGTGGACCGAGCGAGTATGAATTGGCGTTCTTCAGTAACCCCGTAGATGAGATTGGGAATGTGTGTTTTGTCGTTGGGAACTGGTTCATGGATGCCTTCCTTGTGCGTGTCCTGCCAATTTTATTTTTACCAATCACTGAGCGTTTTAAATCTAGGTATGGCGATTCATGGTCATATATGGATCGTACGGCAGGGCGTGGGTGAGAGTTTTAATCATCCTTCCCTGTATAATGCTCCTTGCGTCCATCGGTATGTCACTGTCTCGCCTCGCAGCCCCGAGCTGACTTCATGTCCGTTACCTTTTCCGTCAAGCGCTCGGTGTCCTACTTTTGGTCAAAATGGCTGGCTCTAATCCTTTCGCACAAGCCGACTTCGCCCTTTCTTACTATGTGACTACACTTGCGCTGAACGTCATCGTCACTGTCATGATCGCCACCAGGATAGTGCTCTACCGGCGACGCATCAGGCGTACTTTTGGACCACACCACTACTCAAGCTACTCTAATGTTCCTGCGATCCTCATCGAATCCGCGTCATTATACTCCCTTTTTGCGCTGCTCTTCATCGTTCCGCTCGGGCTCCAGAGCCCGCTTGCGAATGTGTTCATGCAGTCCGTGAGCCAGGTGCAGGTGAGTGTCGCTTTGAGCTGACTGACGCTATTTCTCCACTGACTTTCAAATGTGTATCTGTGACGATCTCGAAGATCGTCACCGCACTGATGATTGTCTTTCGTGTGGCCACTGGCAAGGCATGGACAGAAGGCGGTGAGAGAGAACCTATTGTGCCCACTGGTGCTACTGCAGTGCAGCTCAAGCGCACGGAGCGTGCGCGCGCTGGTGGCGGCAGTGAAGGACATTCTTCACTTGAGTTCAGCCTTCCCGATGGCCTTGACGCGAGCCAATCTTCGGGTAAGACTACTTGCGAGCACGAGGGAAGCTCTGCCTAAGAGCTTCGTTTTCGCTGCATGAACCTGATCGCCGTGTTGAAGTTGTTGAGCACATCAAAAGTATCTGCTTGGAGATGAGCACCTCGCTCCTGGGCATGTTGAGGATGATATCAGTAGTCCAAACCAACGTGGTGTGAGTATCCCTAACCTTTGCTCCTCAGATGGACACTTATTCTTCCGTATTATGTCGATATGTCAGATTGATCCTAAGCCTATTCATCAGGCGTGGCGACTGATGGAAACGACATCCGTTCTTAATTTGCAGCTTACAAGCAGCAGGTACTCATTACCTTTCTTTACTTGAAAAATGCCCGTCGCAACCATATAACCCAGTAGCTGGAAACGTAAGTGATACTAACCGCCTGTTTGATTGTACAGGTCACTCATGCACTTTTTGCAGCATACTTTTCCATAGCACTATTCATCCCATTTATTCATTCCGCATATGTGGCTGGATTAGGAAGGATGTTTTCATCACTTGCGCATCTTCGAATCTACATCCCATCTTTTCACGATTTCATGGGGGAACCGCTAGCTACATGCACCACTATTGATTTGAGGGCCGCTTCGCGGCGCTCCGACTCGCCGTTCGACTGTCCGAGCCTCGAAGTAACATAAGCGTTTTGATCTCCGAAATGCACCTTGACGATCTATGCACGCGCGCGTTCACTTTGTCTCCGAATACTATGCTCCCCCATATACCCTATAAAATATGCCTCGTTTGCGGTTTTTTGCATTGAATCAGACAATGTGTCCTGCAGCTTTTCATTTGTGACATAACTTCACTTTACATCCTTCATGAACCAACTGCCAGTCTGCCCGAAGCTTGAAATGCGTCGAGTTTGTCACGCTCTGCCGTGGGCCTGTGTGGTCTCGTGCCCAGACGTGCCGAAGACAGGCTTGTGGCAATACAACGGCATCCCCGACGAGACCCATCGGCATCTCTCGGCCATTGCTCGGCATTGACCCGGCCATCACGAATACAAACAAGGGCGTCCTTGCCGTGGCAGGTTGAAGGGCGCGCGTTTTGAAGCAGACATTGATTGAGACCGTCCTCCTGCACTCTGTAGGTCTCTAATGAAGATTCTGATATAGTTCTTACCGTACACCTCCACTATATGTCTCTTTTAAGGCTTCTACCTACGGGAGACACGCCTCTTCTGGCGGGTAGCAGCTCGGCAAGGCTGACATCGACACGGCACATTAAGCGCGCAAGCTGGCGAGCTATCGTAACTTTGTCCAGCGATCTCAACCGCCGCTAGCATAATGTTCGGCGCTCGGTGTAGACTGACATGCCGGCCGGACTTAGAATGTATTTATCCATTTTAGTCGAGGACATCTGAAAAAGGAAATCGGATCTCGAAAACAGATGAATACATTCTAACGAACGAGTTGCGTTCGCAGCGGAGTTTACAAGTCAGAACGGCTGGATACGAGCCTACGCTCAGCGTTTAGGCCTTTGCCGCCTCGGGCTGTTGAGTTGACGGAATGAGAATAGAAATGATGAGTAAGGTGGTCCGAGACTCCCGGCATGACTTCGGTATGCCAACCTTATGTTCCGCCTGAGTTGAACCTTCGAGCAGTAGCAGCGCATCTGTCTTCACATCTCCTAAAGGTTTCAAGCACAGAGCGCATGGAGTCATAGGTATGGACTGCTTTACTTATGGCAGAAGCGACGCAGAGACGAACTGAGTGAGGCTGATTCTTTTTTATCAGGAACGCAAATCAGACTTGGTTCACACATGGTCCACGGTGGCGCGAGCCGTGTACGCTCGGTTATCCGGGTTCACAAACCGGCCCCAAGTTGCGGTCCATGCGTGGGGTCTAAGCCGGCCTTCTCATCGGACTAGTCTGCTGTATAAAGACCATGCCCGTACGGTGATCGAGCGTCGCCATCGTCCCACATACCTATGTCGGACTCTCGGGCGGCGACGCTTCATGACATTGAGGTCGGTCCCCGTGTTAGCTCGGACACCAAGTCAACGAACTCCGTGCTCGCTGCTCGTGAATACTTGGGACGTGGAACCAGCGAAGATCCGTATGTTGTAGACTGGAAAGAGGCCGATCCGCAAAATCCGTTCAATTGGTCGAAGCGACGGAAATGGATTATAACGTCCCATGTATGATCAGTTGCCCGTGAAATCTGGAAACTTGTCTGCTCAACAACTATATTTAACGTTTACAGCTCGCATTTGCCACTTGGGTTGCATCTTTCTGCAGCAGCTCCTACAGTGCCGGCCTGACGTATACCACCACGGACCTGCATATCACGAAAGAGATAGCTATCCTAGGCGTGTCGCTCTTCGTCCTTGGATTTATGGTTGGGTATGTCGTCTGCGCATTCTCTACAACAGTTCTCGCCTTGACAAATTCCTTTTTTCAGCCCTCTCTTCTGGGCCCCCATGAGTGAGGTAAATATGGCCATTTTCAGATATCTGGGCGATGGTCTGATCTGCGTTGTAGATGTACGGAAGAGTGAGTTGAATGACTAGGCATTTCGGTTTTTTCAACGGCCAATACAACTGTCAGCGAATTGTCTTCATCGGAACGTTCTTTGTCTTCACTCTCCTACATCTGGGTGGAAGCCTTTGCAAGAACGTCGCAACACTCTTAGCAACCCGCATGCTGGCGGGAATGTTTGGCGTATCGAGTGAGCTCCATTGTTCATGATCCGATGTTTCGTACTTATAGTACGCGGGCCTCAGCGTTCACAAACTCAGGCGCAGCTATGTCTGACATGTGGGTACCTCGCGAACGAGGCTTTGCAAGTGCGCTATATGCGTGTGCGCCCTTTTTGGGCCCAGGTAAGGCGACTGTTCTCGCGATTGCCCAAGTGCTCATCTGTTCTTTCCCAGTGATTGGTCCAATCATCGGTGGATGGGTGGCGATGTCTCACCTTGGGTGGCGATTCAATTTCTGGATTATGTTCATTCTCTGTGGGGTATCCACGATCGGGTTTGTTGTCATTGTGCCTGAGACGGTGAGTCAACATGAAGAACGGTTCGTGTGGTTCACAGATACTGATATAGCTACATAGTATGCGCCAGTTCTACTACGCTGGCGTGCGGAAAAATTACGCAAAGAGTCCGGAGGTAATACCGTGTACATCTCGAAGTATGATGTCGGACACTCGCGCAAGCGCATAGACATTTTTCGAAAAAATATGGCGCGACCATTCGGTAAGAACGCCAACTAACGTTACAACATAACTATCCGTTTACTCACGTTGTCCCGACCACTTAGTGTTTCTTGCTACGGAGCCTATTGTCCTCCTCCTGGCGATATACGTATCTGTCGCGTATGCTATCCTATACGCCTTTTTTGCTGCCTTCCCGATTGTGTTCCAAGAACAACGCGGTTGGTCGCCTGGTGTCGGCGGGCTAGCCTTCATTGGAGTCGGGGTAGGAACCACTTTTGGTCTGCTTCTGACCCCAATACAAAATCGACTGTATTGGGCTGCGATGGCCCGCAGTCCCACTGGCCGGGCTGCGCCCGAAGAGTGTGTATCGCTCACCTCCGTCTGAAAACTATACTCAAACATAATTTTTTCAGGCGTTTGTATGCGCCCATGTTTGGTGCTATCTGCTTGCCTATCGGGATGTTCTGGTTCGCATGGTACGCCAATTTGACGCTCCCCGATCCCAGATCGTACATAACCCTTGGACGCTAGGACGAGTTCACCGCACATCTTCTGGCTTAGTCCAATACTTGCAGGCATACCATTCGGGATTGGGGTGGCTTTGGTGATGCAGGGCGCGTCACAATACCTCATGGACGCGTACCAGATGTACTCGGCGAGTGCTCTAGCGGCGACGGTCGTGCTGCGGTCTATAGTCGCGGCGGTCTTTCCCCTCTTCATACCCACAATGTATGCGAATATCGGAGATGGCTGGGCTTGCAGCGTCTTCGCATTCTTAGTGACGGCCTGTATGCCTATACCTTATTTGTTCTATGTAAGTAATGCTGCATACCCTCCCATCGATACACCGGAAGCTAATGGACGAACCTTTCCGCAGAAATACGGCCCCTGGCTACGGGCACATTCCAAATGGGCTTTACAAGATACCATCCCTCCTCGCGGCGCGCCCGGAACGGGCGCTATTCCTACATCGGATACCTCTGCGAAGGAGGAAAAATAGAGCTTAAGCGAAGTGATTTCCATAAGTTACCCCATAGTACCTGCATCCGCTTAATGTATTTTAATTATCTTGAGACACCAGTTTGTATTTTCAAAGATTCGCGTAGAGGGACCATAGATGTATGCGAACGCAACAATAAGAATAATTACAAAAATCGTAGGATACCGATACCCTCTTAGATCAAACCACCAAGTAGCTACTGGTCGTATTATAATTACATCAGCTTATGGATCAGTCCTCTTCGTCTGAGAAACTGAGCTGTAGCCGACTTTTCTTCTTTCCCTTGCGAGCAACAACTGACAGCGACGCATCAGATTCATCACCAGGTTCTTGAGCGGATAGTTCAGACGATTCAACATGTGGCTCATCGTGAGGGGGAATACTATCTCGAGACTGCTCGGGCTCGTCTCGCGACCCCTCGCCGTCCATGGACGCGCTCGGTGACGTTATCTTACCGCGAAATTTGGGTCGTGGCCGTGGCCGCGCCTTCGACTGAGTCTCCCCCGGCGCGTCCGAAGAATTCTCTGCAGGGGCGGGTGATTGCCTCGGAGAATCGAAGAGATTAAGGTCGCTTTCATCCGACTGGTTGTCGTCACTCTCCTCTTTCTCCTCCGCTACTGCCTCCGCCTTGCCTCTCTTTCGTCTCTTCTTCGCCTTGCCGTCGTCCGTAGCCTTTTTGCGACGCTTCTTGGTTCCGGTGGCTTTCATCGTCCCGCTTTGGCCGGTCGTCGCAGCTGCTAAAGCGGTTTTTACTCGCAGCGCTTTTTCCTTTTCCAAGAACGCCTCCATATCTCCGTATTCCACATCGCTGTCTTCGATAAACTGCGCGGATTTGTACTGTTGCTTCTCTTTTTTCTTTTTCTGCTTTTTCTTCCGCGGTGCTTCGTCCTCGGAGGACTCTGCTCCCGCGGGATTTGGAGCATGTAACCGCCGACGTCTTCGACGGCGTCTCTTCTTGCTCAACAAAGAAGACGCCTTCTTGTCTTGCAGATCCAGAGGCGTCTCCAAGAATTGATTGATGACGTTCAAGCTACTCTGTAGGTCCGACGGAAGGATCGCCGCGGGAATGTACCATTCAAGTTCATCAGCCGCTGCGCTTTCGAGTAAGCAAAGTCATATCATAGCATGATACAGGAATGCTGACATTCATCTAAAACATAAAACTTGACTAGACGGAAGAGGAGCTTGAGATGCGGATCCTTGGTTGCAGCATTTGCTTCTTCATCGCTCACGTATGGGATTACTGAAAGACGCAATCAAGACCAGGTGGTGCAAATCAGATGCGGAGGTTGCGTACAGTAATCATTAATTTTGGCAAGCGCTTCGCTAGATGGCCCTCTGGATGCGACGACTATCTCGGCACCGTCATCTGCATCCTCATCACTCATAGCATTAACCTGTGATGTCGAGCCGTCGGTGTCCTCGATGATCCGCTGCCTCTGAGAAATTGCAAACGCCAAGATCTAAAAAAACGGTTACAATCGCCGTCGAAACTGCAAATATCGTTCGAATCACCTGTTTAGTCCAATCTACAAGAATCTTTTTCCCCTCGTCCATCAGACAGGCCATAGCAATTCCGAGCTGTTCGCTCCACGAATAGCCCTTCTTCACTTGCACGTCTGGAGGGAACCTGGTATCATCCGCCATTCGACCATCTTTGGATGTCTTCTCTTCTGGTGCCCAGCTGGAGAAATGCTTCCAGTTGCCACGGTTCTTGGGGAAGAAAGCCTACAAGACCACGTCAATCTTACGAGATCGGGAGTGTCTCTGCTAAGCTCACCTCAACGGCCAAGAACGAATCTTCCTCCACTGCCTTGAAGAACTGGCGAAGGATGAATTTGATCAATGCAACGAGATCAGTGTATGCTCGATCCTTTGGGAAGGATTTCTCGTCAGACAGAATATTCTTGAACAAGTCTAGGGTCGAGACCTGGCAAAAACATCAGTCCACGGAACATCGTAAAGGACAGGACGGCGAACGTTGAAAAACAGGCCTTCCGCTTTAGCTTTGACAGCCTGCCTATGAAGTAGGCCCACGACACGCTTCATTTGCTCTGCGGACGTAAATTCTTTATATCGAGCGACATAGACGAGCAATGCTTGAGTGATTTCTGTGTGGGCAAATCTCTACAGCCTTTTCAGCCCCTTTGCATCCCCTTTGCATCATCGAACTCCCGAAGACTCACCATTTGGAACATATCGAAAGTAAACATGGTTTCGTGGACAACATCATCATCGTCCCCTTTTTGCTCTTCCTCTTCTACATCAGGAACGCCATGTTCATCATCTTTACCTTGATAAGCATAAGTCAGCGACCGAAGAGCGACCGAAGTGATGTAATTCGGGGAACGTACCCCTTTTCTTTCTTCTTGACTTTGCTTTACGCCTGACATACATCTCGCCTCCGGCACCACGATTCTTGCCCCACTTCTCAAGCATCCTGAACAACGCGTAAGCCAAATGGACACTAGAGTCCAGATAGGCTATGCTTTGAGTCCGCTCCTTGTACATCCGAAGGCTTTCGAACGCAATGTCTAAAACTTCGCCGTTGTAGATAATTTGTTGCTGTAGGACCTCTGCGACGTCGGCGATATCTGGATTGGATGACGAGGCCATACCGTCAATAATCATCACTAGCTGGGTGAGACACTCGATGCCAGCTTGAAGTTCATTCCATAATTTGGGCTGCGTATGCCGCGAAGATAAGAAAAGGTAGCGTCTCGGATAGAAATACATGCCTTCTCCTCTACTGCCTCTCGCATTCGCTTCAGAACCCAGACAATCCATCCGCGCTCAGTCACCTCTGCGATGAGACCGTAGTCCCAAGGGCCACCTGGGCCTTCTTTTGCTTTGACACACAAGAAGAACTCCAGAAACCATTTCGTTACATAGAGAAGCCGGAGGTGATCTTTCTCTGTGATCTTCGGTCTTTCAGCTTTGATATCTTTCAGTAGGGACGATAGGAATGCTAAGGAAGTCGAGACATTAGCCCACGGCACGAACACTCAAACGAAAACATTCTCGTACGATTAAAGCATGACTCGATGAATGTCCTGGCAAGGTTCTGAAGTGCAAGCTTCGCATCGAGAGAGAGGTTATCATCATGACCGAGCTCGTCGAGTTTCTTGCTTTTCTGGGCTCGCTGCCGTTTGACCAAGTCCAGCATACTTCCAGATTCAGCGGTGAGGGCTTGTTGGCGGTGTAGAATGAATGCCTGGGATGATGATTGTGGATCAGTCTGAGTATTGCCTCCACCTTCGTTTCCCGCATTCGCAGCGGCCTGGGCTTTCTTTGGGTTGAGCTTGACGGATATTGTAGTACCGAAGCGGGAATGACGCGAAGTCGCATTTCTGGAGAAATTGCGCTTCCTATGGTCCTCAACAGCTAAAAGTCGTTTCAGATTTTGTGTTGGTTCCTAAAAATCGGTTAACGTACAGTGATATTGTTAACAAAGGCAGCAGAAAAACCTGTGACTGGTCCATAGCAAGGGATGTCGGTTTGACTCCTCGAAACAGCAGATAGAATATTTCGAGCACAAGAGAATTCCAGCTGTTGAACATCGCATCTGCAGTCGCATTTGAAGCAATAGTCAAAAGCAGATCGAGAATGTTAGAGTCAAATAGTGCTTTTATCAAACGAGTCTGCATCGAGGAATATTCAGCTTGGTCGGCACTGGTATGCATGTTCTGTGGGAGATCTTTGATGAATGCGAGGTTGCGGATGAGATACAGGATGACATTGATAATCTGCGTATCTCGCTCTTTCCGCTCCTTCGCTGCTTTCGCAATGCAAGGAAGAGAAATACCAAGTAGAGCCTGCATGACACCCGGCCGAAGAAGAGCAGCCTTGTAATTCAAGTGGCTGAGTGTCAGCTGAGTGTAGTCCGCGCCTTTATCGAATTCATCATCTAGTTCCTTCAACTCTTCTGCCATGTCAATAGGCCACGTCATAGCTGTCATTAAGTCGGCACATGCGATTGCACATTTGTCCTCGAGGTGACCCCTACCAGCCGTCTCGAGCAATATCGGAACGAGGTCGTTGGGCAGCAAGCGTGTCTCCCAGAAGATACGGGCCACTGTCCGGTCGTCGTCGGTATCATCTTTGCGCCAGAATTTCTTTAGGTCTTTGAGACACCCATAACATTCATCGCCCAGTCTGTACACTCCACCCTCATAGCCTCCCAGTGCATCTACAACGGAACGGATCGCAGGTTCTAGGATGGCACGCCGCTCATCCTGAGGCTCCTCCGACGAGATGGATATCGCGTCGTCACCAGCTCTGGCCATATCGTATACTGTGGGAGGCGCCGTGATCACCTCGGTATCGCTGGTCCCGTACGCGACGCGAGTTCTCAGCTGAGAAAGAATACGTCTTTCACTAATCACTTGCACTAGATAAACTAACTCACTTGGTATAATAAGCAATTGGTTTCTTCAGCGAGAAGCGATGCCAATGATAGACTGCGGACAATACAGCGAACCGAACGAGCTCAATCAGTCCCTCTTGAGCACGTCCGCAGGTGAAGCACGTCACGTTCGACGCGAACTGTCACAAATCAATTCGCGTGACTAAGCGCGTTGAGAGGTTTGGCGCCCAGTAACCTGAGTGCTGATTAGGCGCTCGACAGTGTGGCAAACTCTGTATCATCTTCAGCCTCCCCTTCATTTTGTCTTATGTTTTTGCTAATTGCTTGGATGTTCTATAGTTACTAGTCTATTGTTTATGTTTTCATCACATCTCTACCCCCCAATATGCCTCGTAAGACTAGGCCATCTCTAACGGCTCACCATTTCCCTGCTTTCTACGCATGCTATCTACTAAAGAGTGTGCGCACGCCTCGTTCGACTGCGTATGTATGGTCGTCCTCACGAAACTTCTCCAATTTAATAAATCGCACAATACAGGACTTACATTGGGAGCACCCCAAGCCCTCCTCGTCGGATACGGTTCGTCGGACTCCATGAACAACCCTTTGTATGATACCAACGATCCACGCTCCAGCCAACATAATGGTGAGCTTACGCAAGGCGCCTGGAAGACGAAAAACAATAGACCGTGGGCCATGCAAATGATTGTACACGGTTTCCCTTCCAAACTTGCCGCACTACAGTTTGAATGGGCCTGGCAACATCCTCATATTTCCCGGCACCTCCGCGATGAAGAAGGGAATGCGGTTTTCAAAGGAGGCCGTAGTTATATGAAAAGTAATGTCTCGTGTGTAAAGGTTTTCTGGCTCCCTCGAATAAGCGTTCCCAATGATACTTCAACAGCATCGCGTGGAACATGATATGTTCACATCCCTACAATACCTGGCCATTGCACGTCAAACTATTCACGAAAGAAGCTGTGAAGGCGTGGAAGGACGCCTCGGGAGGATCGAACCAATCGTCCCTTCCCTTTGGTTTTACATGCGCCACGGAATTGGAAGGCGTAGACGGCAAGTCAGGGGACTTCGGTACTGGAAGGACGGGACCAATCGATGTTACCGATAGTGAGTATTAGTGCGCTCATTCGGCAAGTGAATACTTGCTTATTAGATTGCACCTGACGAGGACCTTCTGATCGATAAGGCGACTTCAATTCAAAGCACTTGAGCAAAATGACTCGTATCCTTGCGTCTAACAACAAACTCTCATGCACCATCTGCAATAGCTGTTTTGATGATCATCCACCTGTACGTTGTCCACTTACCTCTGCCTGAATGATTACGTGATAGCTGCCGTAAGGACCCTCTCACCACCGCTTTATGCCCCGCGCCGGGCTGTGCTGCTCTATCACACCTCGTGTGCCTGTCACAGCATTTTTTGAAAAGTGGGTCTCATACGCAGATAATCCCTCGCGGCGGTGAATGCGCTTCCTGTCATACTTATGTTCTCTGGGGCGATGTGATACGTGGATGCTATCGACGGAGAGGCGGGGCTATGTCGGTCTTGGATTCAGGAGAGGAAGCTGACGAAGACGGAGGGCAAGGCGACACCCATGAATCAGCGACGAAAGCGAGTGGCTCCCGTCAAAGAAGCGCGCGGACAAAGAAGACGCTGTCTCAAGCTCGCGGCAGTGTTCATCATGATGAATCGAGTGACGGCGAATGCTTTGATTTGGACGGAGTGAGTACCTCAACTGACGAAGAGATGGTTGCGCCTGCGACGCAACACCTTGGTCCTGCACTTGATTTTGCTACTACATACGCAACAACAAGAAACGATGTACATCCACCAAGGGTGTTACAGAAGCCAAGTTTGATAAATGCGGTGCCGAACGATGGTCTCAATGCCACTGGAACTCAATATGCAGGGAGGCCACGCCGCAACCGTGATACCTCGCAGCTGACGGGGAATCGTGCATTTGACGCGGTAGTTCCACTCGTTAATCCGTATCCTCACACTCAACCGGTAACAAAAAACTTGCCCTCGTTCCCAGGCGACGCACTCCGAGAAACCGGCTATCGTGCGGGGAGGCACCCCGGGATATCAACATCGCAGGATCTACCCAAGAAGCATCTTCGTGTACCCGCCAGTGTGCGAAAGCATCCGGGTGGGGTTCATCTTGACACCGCATTGGATGCACGGAGCTGTGCAAAACCAAGCGCCATGGATACCGAAAGGACGCGCGCCAACGCGTCGTCTTCTGCAACATTTAATGTTGCCACTTTCGGAGAATCTCCGAAAAGTCTGCGCAGACGGCTCACCGGGACGGCAACCTTTCCTACCCTCTCTCCGCTTCGCCACCACCTTGGGCGTAAGGGTCCAGGGGTAGTGAAATGGGTGCCTTCGGTACTGCTCCAGACTAGTTCCGAGGATGAAGGCGGCAGCGACCCGGATCTGCGACCGACATTGAACCTTCAGCGAAATGAGGCTGCTTCTATCTCACCTGTATCAGAACGTGAGACCTCGGCTGAATCGGAGGTCGATTTGGAACCTCGCCGACTGACCCGGGCATTATCAACATTGTCTGTATCTTCTGCAGATTCTATTGTGGACAGGGGGGATTTGGCCCAGTCAATTCTGGCAGATCCCGCAGCTTCTACTCGGCACTATCTTCTGGATAGAGAAGTTATTGTTCTATCTGATTGATGATACGCATAGCCTGGACTAGATTCATTATATGGTGTGTAGTAATCTATTTTGTCAGGCATTTACTAACCGTCCTATCATGACTCCAGAATATGTATGGACACTGCTGTACTACGTACGCATCTTCTACTATGTAGCCATCCCTTCGTTCGAACATATCATATCATTTTTATGTGAGTTTGCAGATATATCAAATGCGCTGATTGGCGCACGATGAACTATTGCAATATCCAATGTCATACTATCCATTCTGGGAGATAACGAGTCGAATGTCACATCCCATTCATGATTGCATCGCCTGTCCTCACTACAATCTCGTCCGGTATGTATCTCTAATTAGTCCCCATGCCTATGGCTTCCGAGTAAGCAGCCCTGAATGTCACATGGCAGGTGTTTCCCCGGCCCACAGATGCCCAATGCAGTGCTGTGTCCTGACCAGTGTGGGCGATCCCCCAACGACGGAAGCGAATTGCTAAAGACGGATCAGTACACCTGTGGTATGTGTTACGTCGGTCCCTGTACGAGACGCGCGTCGGAACAGAAGACCGCTGCATGAGAATATAATTCTGGCGGAGACTCTGGTTCCGATCGAGACCACAGGTGTCCAATATCTGGGGGAAGCTCGAGCCCTTCGCGACAGCTTCATTCTTCCACCCTACCGCATGACATGCGGTTGTCACTGCTCTCGACGTGTCCTCCACTGACGAACCCATATCCGACTTCACACAACTCGCTCAACCAACTATCTTTATTCTCTCGATCTCGATGAGCTCATACCCACGGAGGCATTCGATTTGTGAAGTGCACAATGGCAGAGAGTTCATTACCATGCTGCCTGTAAGTCTGATACTTATTCCCGTAATGTCTTATGTCATGCCGTATTCTCCAGCCCATGTCCACCGAGGAGGATTTATTACAAGACGACTTCGTAGGAACCCAAACGGATTATCAAAGCCACCACCCTCTGGTCGGGACGTCGAGAATTGCTCGGTTTTACTCGGTCAGTCTACTAGCGGTCTAATAAGAGAGGGCACCGAGTTGTCTCATGATTGTTCAAAGACGCTCTTGGAAGGCGTGCGCAGACGCTATCACAAAATAAAGAGGTCGCTGAGGAAGCAGACCCCTGAAATGTCATGAATGAACGCGTATGATCAATGCAGTACCTCTCATTGTTGTTATCACCATCTTATACAATACTCTGCAGATATCATGATGCTTTACAGCGGCAAACTAAAATCTGCGAGAGCGAGACGGAGACAAGCGTCTCTATCATGGCTCCGCCCCGTACGAAAATACCCAACCAAGCCGCCCATCTGCCGCCTTTGCCAATAGTCCCGTCGTAGGCAAACTTCCGTAACCGGCCCCAGCGGATGACACGACCGCGTCGCAAGTGGCTAACCACAACCGTGCCAAGACACACAAAGGATGTTGGCAGACGATGTATCACTTCTTATGTCAGGGAACATCATGTGCGACTAACTATTCATGAAATTGCACTCATCAGCGCTCACTGCAAAAATGTTTTATGCCCCCCGACTTGTGAAGTCGCGGCCTGTATCTCGAACGCCCAGCGTCCTACGTCAATATTTACCTACACATCATGCTCACAAATATAATAAACTACAACATAAGACAGAACTGTCCAAGAAGGCTCAAACGACACCCCCGCCCCGACTCGTCAAATAATCGTAACGTTCAGTGGTCACTGTCCGCACCCGGATCCCTACCTCCGCCTCCAGCGCTCTTACGGTCCGCAGCGACGACGCGGCTCCTCCGCCGCGCGTACTCGCTCTGTCGAGCTCTCCTCTTCGCAGCGGTCTTGACGGCCTCCCCACCCGTGCTAGACCTTCCGCCTCTGACGCCCCCCAGCGACTTCCTCGCCCCCATGCTCGACCGCGTCCGGCTGGCGGGGACCACGCTGGGTGCGAGAGGCGTCGGCTGGCCAGTAGCCCGCTGCGCGCCCAGCTTTGCAATCACGCGAGAGCGCGAGATGCGCGGTTTGCGGGCGATCAATGCCTTCGGCTTGGGCGGCACCGCGAGCTTGGGAATGCCGGACGAGGTGCCCATGATAGCTGTGGCGACTGCGTCCAGAGAGGGCTTGAGCCGTGCCGGGGTGGGGAGAGAGGACGGGCTTGAGAACGTCGTCGTTGTGAGCGGGTCGGCAAAAATCCGGGAAGGGGGAGGAGAGCGTAGGCTGTTCGCGGTAGGGTCCAGGGCGCCCTTTGTAGCGGTTGATGGCATGACAGAGTACCTCTTCGACTTTACGAGTTTCGTGGGCTGCTCGGCAACGACTGGCAAAGCGGACAACCTCCCTGCTGTCCCTGCGGGCTTGACTCCGTTCGTGGTCTTAGCCAGAGAGCTTGCGGTTGGTGCCATTAGAGACGATGTCCGTTTCCTGACATTCAGTGAGTTGGCCACATTGCTTGAGTTCTCCGCGTCTTGGCCATCTCCTATGGTCATCCTGGAGTTTGCAGTACCCGTCGCAGAAGCGTTGGTTGTGCTTTTTCGGGTGCCAATAGACGAGACGGCTGTCCGCGAACCCGTGGCAAGGCTTGTCCTTGTCCCGACAGAAGTTAGTGAATCGTTTCTTGAGTGAGTGCGACTTGCGGAAGTGCCTGCTCCCCCAGAAACACTCGTCCTTGAATTCGCGGTGTTGGAGCCAGGTTTCGCAGCAGTTGCGGGGTTTGCGAATGACGGTATGGGAGACCTGATAGTTGCAATGGAGCTCTTCGTAGAGTTGATTGTGCTATCTCTCTTCGTTGCTACCGACGACGTCGGGGGCTTGGGCATATTGTGACTACCAGAAAGCACACGGCTTCTGGCACTTTCGACTGTCTTCTGCGTTGAAGCAGCTGGCCTCGTTTCTGGAGCTGTCTTGGTGGGCAATGTTGGCTTAGCGACTGGAATGCTGGAAGCTGTTGATGACTTCGTTGCGCTTGATGAGCCTGCTCCCATATTCCAGACATTCTTCACGATAGATTTGGCGGAGGCAAGGAACCCGAAGCGGGACGTCTTGGCTTTGACTTGGATGTGCGGTTCAATATATCAGCGGCAGCACAGGAGAGGCTAGAAGCACTTACCCGGAGGCTTTCCACCAATGCTGACTCTCCCCCGGCTGCTTCTCCGCCTCGCCTTGTTCGCATCCAACTTCTTGCGTATAGCCTCCCGTTCTCTCTGCTTCTGTAGTTCATCAACATCGGCGTCTCCCAGACCACTCTTCGGCGCAATCGAGACTCTCTTTCCCTTATGCACATCTTCTGTTCCAGTGACACGTATGCGCTTGGACGACCGCCGATCGCCCGAATCTTCGTCTCCATCCTCATCCTCGTCTTCCTCGCCAAACCCACCTGGCACCCCCATCTTCTTCCGCACGCCGTTGCTGATAACGCGCGCACCCGCGGCACTACTCTTTCTCTTCGCACCTGGTGCCGGGCCAACGCCCAGGACATCAGACTTGCGCTTCTTCGATGCTACAGCGGTCCCGGATCCAGTGCCAGCGCCACGCCGCGCGGCATAGTGCGTGGTGATCGAATCCATCTTGCTGAACACATCATCATGCGCTTTCGCGAACCTATCGGCGCTGTCCGTCTGCGCCTGAGGCTTGCCCACCGCACCAAAGAACCCATCGAACGGCACGGGCGCCCTCTGCGCGCTCGGCACGCCCGCCTCGGCCAGCCGCTTGTTCATCTCCTCGAGCACCGACGCCGCCGCTTTGTCGAACTCCTTGTTCGAGAGACTGTGTCGCGGCAGTGGTGAGCCAAACAGGAACGGCTCGCTCCGCGGGATGGGCAGCCGCGCAGGCGCCTTGGTCGCTGCGTCTGCGGTCGGTCGCATGGGCGAGAAGAGATCGGGCACGTCGACGGGCATCGGCGTCGACTTTGGCTTGGAGGCTGACCCGGCTGAACGCGTCGTCCTGGCGGGTGTGGCTTGGTTCGCCGGCGTGGATATGCCCCCGGGCATGTCGACGTCCATAGCGTCGTTCGGCGTGGCCTGTGGCGCGACATCGGCAGGCCGCGGCGCGGGGTAGTCCTCGACCGGAATGGCAGGGTACAGACGCTGTGGCTGGTTGCTCGGCGACGCGGGCCACACGGTCATGCGCTGCCCTGGCGACGCGTTCGCGCCGGGCGAGTACATCTTCAGGTCGAACGTGGTCTGGAAGGGCTGGAGACGGGGAGGGGTCGGGAAATCGGTGTTCGTGGCCGCTGTTGAAATCAGACGGACGGTCGTCGTGAGGCCTTGGCCCATGCTGAGTCTGGCATTATCGGGAGCAGGCATTCCTGGGCGCGACGGACTACCGGGGACGGGCGCGGACATCGACACGTCACCGTCTGTGTCATAGCCGTTCTGCGGGCCAGAGGGGAAGTGGTTCGTTTGTTGCAATGGCTCCGCATTTTCGGATCGTACCTCGTCTGTTAATGGTGTGGTCGCCACGTTCTGAGCAGAAGTAGATTTGGTGGAGACTGCGTGTTTTATGCCGAGGGAATTGGCCAAGGCTTTGATTGAGGAACTTATGCTTGAGGCTGGAAGAGACATCAGCTAAGTAACGCTATCGACCACCAGCACACGAATGAAGGCGTGTGTGAGTCGCAACGATGTAGGGAGTGGAAAAAATATATGATTGCATAGAAATTGACCACACTCACTCTTTGAGTTGCCAGTGCCAAACTCTCCGGGCATGCTGCGGTAACTCCCTTTGGACGAAATCGTTTTCAGGGACGAGCTCTCCGGCACTTCCGCGATATCATCCATGACGACCTCCCACTGCTCACTAGGCCTCGGCATCTGGACCCTGAATCCGCCATCACCTCCTTCAGCGAAAGATGCAAGACCGTGACCATCTTCATCGTCCTTGGGCAGCTCTTGCGCGCGCTGTTTGAGTCGCTCGATAAGCTCGGTGTTTTTTCCCGACGCCTTGATGGAGTGTATCTTGCAAAGCTTGACCAGCTGCTCACGCTTCAGAGAGTGTAGGGCGGGAGAATTGAACAAGATCTGAGTTGTAGTCGACATCAGTGCTAGCGGGCACCGATCATTCGTCGCGTGAGAATGTGAAGAGGCGTAGGAATCTCCGGCAGGAGAGAATTTTGGCGATTCTTGCTGTTACGGTGAACAAAAGCGCGGTTTGTGTCTATACGAGCATGGAGAATGCGTCTGATGTGCCGGGAGGTGTGTCTGGACACTGTGGACTTGGTGGAACTGCGCAGAGGAGGCGTAGTCTTCGAGTGTGATGGCGTCCAAAGATCAACTGGTTCATTTTTCGCGACGCGACACGTATCACCTGACCGTGTCATGGGCGCCTGCACAGCCCCAAGCGTCTCGCGGGCAAATACGAGCGTGCACTGCCAGCCTCAAGTATCCCCATAGTTTTCACGGAGCAACATTGGTTGACTAGGATTAGTGATCTCGTCTGAAGCCCCGTTTCAAGCTAAAAGGCAGACCAAAGATATCTTCCTGACCTTGGCAACATCTTGGTACAAGAGGACCAAACTCGCGAATGACAGCGCACCGCAGACTCTACCTACTCGTCTGAACCGCACTCAGTAAGTTTGCATTCAAGTCGCGGAAAGGGATCGACCTTCGCTACGACCACATACCACACGGACATTGCTTTGACACGACTGGATATGATTCAAGTTGATATGTTCCTGGATATCGCCACTCTATTATCATCGCTTCCGAGTCTGGCACCCACCCACATATCCCGGCGCTCAAGCGACATTGTCCCTATATATAAGAGCCTGAACGCTGCCTGAACTTGGGTATCGATACTACACCCAATCTATCTGCACTGCTTCTGCATTTCGCTTTTTCGTCCCGCTCTGTGCTATCAACCCTGCATGAATTGGTGAGCTTCAGCAACACAGTGTCAGTTGCTAGCAGTCTATGAGTGCGATGTGAGTCCCTTGTCGAATTCATCGTGCATCCTGCTCCCGCCTTGTGATACAATATATCACCACAGCTTGCACCAATCCTTCTACAGTGAAAGACAAAGTGTCCCATGCCGCTAAGTTCTCAGTGAATGGCACTCCAGGACGAAGGAGTCGCTCCGGGAGCACCAGAGCAGAGGCGTCCAATGGTCATAAGACGGCAAGATGCGGATCGAGTACATATGAGACGCCCGAAACTTCAATCATGGAATAGCGGACTCGCCGGATGCTACAGACGCGTCGACATCTACGGGTCGGGCGCAGTTATGAAGCAAGTGCTCCCGCTCAGGCGCATGCGCATGCGGGCACATGGATCCAAAACATTCCCCCCCATTTTTGGTGAACTCTAGACAGGGACACGGCTCCGCAGGACGCCGTGAAATCCAACTGGAACAATGAGCGCGCGCAGGATAGAAGCCCAACAGCACATAGGGAGATAAACGTGCGCCAGGATCCAAGTCTGCATCATGAAGCGCATACATGCAGAGTCAGCGCGTGGGGCGCGCGCATATTTCCAGGAGGAACGTGATACAGCGGTTCTGCGTCTACAGGACATCAAGATAAGTTTATCACGCCCTGGATCTAGGTCGGCTGCATTATTCCACGGAGGGTGAAACAAGAAGAGGGGTCGACGGCTAAGCTCACCTTGGAGGCAGTATTGCGCCACCCGTTCCGACGGCCTCGCACACAGGCGAATTGATGGCAGCGCTTCTCGAGAGGCGCAAGAATGGAGAGACTCGAGGTTTGACGGAGCTTTGCTGCGCTCAACGTGGGATGTGCATGGGCTCAACAAAGCGGAGTACGTATGGAATCCGTGCTGCTTGCGTCTGCCGCTGGTCCGAGCCTCTTGTCGGGGTACGTCGCTTGAGAATTTGTGATTTCGCCGCATCAGGAGAACGTGGTGTCTTTGAGCGCGAGGGTCAACGTCAACATATATGCGCTCAAGTGCGACTCATCCTGCGTCTGCCTACGAGCGTCTCGTGGTGATACTTGTGACGAGCAGACTGCGAGAGAATCGGAGCTGTGACAGTCAACGTGCAAATGAAAGACCAATGCGGCCGGCCTCAGAAACAGCAGGTTTTGTGGCTGAGCTGCGCTGTTGCCATATTCCGAAGAAATGTGCGGGCCAAGGCTGCCACCGCGACCGTGTGGATGTGAAGAGGAGAGAAATAAAAAGGTTGAAGGACGCGTCAGACGTCCACCCAACGAGGAAACGACAATGTGAACAAGGCCCGGCCTAGGTCTCGGAGACACATTGTGGAGAGTCACCGGCGCGGACTCGTCTCGGAGAGTCATCACAAGCATCTCCGGGGCGGATGTGGCCAGCGTCGCATGGGCGGAGTGTTTCAGGACGAGCTGTGGCAAGGCGAGGAAGCTGACGACCATTGTGCTAGAGGGTGGCGGCGAATCTGGGGGCACGGGACAGGGACTGGGCACGAAAGCGTGGCGTCGAGAAGGGCGACGGGTCGACGGCCGGATTGGGTGCGGACCCACGACGCCCCACGCACAGTTCCCTTTCCCGGTAATGTGGCAAAGCGCCGCCCACTAGACCAAACACACGCCCACCAATCCTAACATCCTGAAGCGGGCGAAAAGCAATCCATCAGTCACACGTGTGCTGTCCGCGTCACATTCCCACCGTCACATCGTCTTCTTCCGTCCGTCTATAAAGCGACTCGCCCCGCCAGCCCATGGTTCCGCATCCCCGGCAGCATCACAAGCTCCCGCCGTCCCAACTCCCTCCGTTCCGCTACACGGCGTCTCCTCCTCGACTTCTCCTTATCTTCTCTTCTCCTCTTCCTCCCACAACTTGACAATCTCGATTTCAACATGGGTATCTACACAGTCGTCTCCCGCAAGTCCTCCAATGCGGAGAACACGCCTCTCCGCCCGCCTCGGGCTGATGCCTCTTCTCTTCAAAAGCCGCGCACCATCACCTCTGCTCTCATTCGGGCCCACGCCAATCGCCGACGTGTCCGCGCCAACGGTGCCCAGAACACTTCCCCCTTTGCCATCGAACACATGCACCGCCGCGACGCCGCAAAAAGGGAGCCACAGATCCGCATCCAACTCAACAACAAGATCATCGGCCTTACAGGCTTCAACCGCGTACCTGGTAACGGCATACCCATCGGAGCCCCAGTGAGCACGCGCTTCACTGTCGGTCTCCCGCGGTACCTCTACCGCCCCAAGTACAAGCCGATCCCGAAGGCAAAGATTGCGGCTGGGGGGGGGGGGCCTG